TGTTTTAGCAGTTTCACACCAGAATACATCTAAATCATACAAACACATAACCAAACATTTCATGATGAAACAAGAATAGCAGCAGCAGTAATTTCAGCATAAAACAGCAATTTCATTCACATGCATTATGGGGCATTCTCCATGTAACGCTCTGCACATCCTTCTCAGTATTACCCACTTATTAACTATGACATCTCACATTGGACACGAAATATGAGGATGGTGGATATGCCAGCATATTTTGATTTAACACCTCATGATATGTCAATACCCTCTACTGAACCTATTTCACATTCTCAGAACAGAGTGGCATTGTACAAAGCGATCCTAGTGCTAAGGTGATCGTAACTCCCATTCCTTAACATAGACTTACGACAGTTGTAGCGCTAAGGTTGTTTTGTACAACGGCACCCTGGTAATCGAGAGAAGATAAATATTGTAACCATTATTTATTCCCAAGCAAGAATGTTTTCATCAATAAAAGTGTCATCCGCGAAGTTAGAATTTCATTTTGAAATATAAAAAAAAAAAAAAAAGTATTCAAGACATTGAGATGTTTTAAGTAGGAGTCTGATAACTAAAATATTTTTTTGAACCTAAATCTTAAAATAATACACATAAAAATAATAAATCTAGGTTTGGTTGTGCTACATCATCAGTGAACATTGCTGAGTGCGGCGTTAAACAACAAACCAACCAACCAACATTGTGACAAGTTATGCAGAGGACTTACACAACTGGACAATACATGTACTTCAGTCATGGCAAGGACACAAGGTACCAGCCTCACATGTTGTCTTCATTTGGAGAAGCAGTGAGTGAATGAGTGTGTTGGGTTTAACGCCACTTTGAACAGTACCCGGTATTCCACTTGTATCACGTATTCCACTTGTATCACGGCATGTCAGCTTAATGTGGAAAGAAAGCCCCAAGTGATGCAGGTCTCAGACGTTTACCACTTCGGTGACACCCATGAGCACGGGTATGGTGCTGACAAACCTAGAAACATAATTGGGTCGAACCGGGATTCGAACCCACAATCATAGGTTTCTGGCGTGCCCAAGGGACGCAACTCTGCACAGCAAATAGCATCACCTCAGACGACTGGGCCACCCATGACCTCCATTTTGGGGCAAACCCAGCATCATCTCCACTACCAGTGAGAGAGCACTTCCCACTTTGCTGACACACAACATCCATTAAATGCCTGTGGGTTAAAAAACGAGAGTTACTTCCTCTGTATCTGGTCTGTGTCTAAAATCCTTGACAGTAGCAGTTCTTCCTGGGTTTAGACTCACACTTGGCCAGCCACCCCATGTTCTGTCTTCCAGAAATGTCAGAAATGAAGTATCTTATTAAAACAGATCTGCACGATGAGAAACAGTTTTTGAACATTTCATGACCAAAGCTCAACATACAACAAACAGTATAGCAACTCAAATAAGTTCTTTTAAACAAACTGTTGATGCAGAAAAAAGTTATTTATATAGACAACTTTCTTTGCCCAGTGATACATAGGACAACTAGTGAGATACATGGCGGAAACTAAAGTATATACATCTACAACGCTACAAAAATAGATACAATATGATAAAACATCAACCAAAGCAAGATATGTCGATAAAGTCACAACTCAGAAAATGTTGACAATGTAATGAAATGTTGGCTTAAGAGCATATTGATGACCAATCGCATTAAAATCAAATCTTAGTTCTCGCTGCTGCTAAACTAAGACTTGATTTTAATGAGATTGATGATTGGTGTCATGCATGGCTATACTACAATGAGCTTAAAATAAGTTAGTGAAAACGATAAAACTGAACAGTACTCCATTTCAGTCCTTTTTTGCTGCAATGCCGTGGGCTTGAATTTGCCAAACAGATTCAGCAAATTGAGAGAGTGAGTTTGGGTTTAGGTAGCTTTAAACAGTTTTTCAGTAATATCACAGTTTGTCAGCTAAATGTGTGAGGAAGGCCCAAAGTGATGGAACAGTATAGTCTTTTTTTCAGTTTGAAAAGGACTTACGGAATGGTGACGATGCTGATCAATATGTCACAATCTAGTCACAGAAGCATCACCAATTTGAAGCCTAGGAGCACAGGGATGGTGACGATGTTGATCAATATTGTCACAATCTAGGCACAGAAGCATCACCAATTTGAAGCCTAGGAGCACAGGGATGGTGACGATGATGATCAATATGTCACAATCTAGTCACAGAAGCATCACCAATTTGAAGCCTAGGAGCACAGGGATGGTGACGATGCTGATCAACATGTCACAATCTAGGCACAGAAGCATCTCCAATTTGAAGCCTAGGAGCACAGGGATGGTGACGATGCTGATCAATATGTCACAATCTAGTCACAGAAGCATCTCCAATTTGAAGCCCAGGAGCACAGGAATGGAGACAATGAGACAATATTTGGGCAGGGTAGTGGAATCTCTGATATCACCTTCATCATCTGGCTGACATACTGCCAATGTAATCTAAAATTTAACTCACTAAGAATCCAGTAACAGAAGCACCTCTCTCCAGCAAGTAGTTCACTGCCAGACAGATCTCGGTGTCACAGACCATGGTATGGTCCTCTGGCACACAAGCAAACCAATGAGCATGGGTGGTGCCAACAGACCAGAATCAGGTGACTCTGGGATTCGAACCCATGATTAGAGGATCGTGGAAGCAATGGGAAGCAATATCGCAATGGGAGGGTGGAACACAAGAAATCTCGTCTACAGAAATTGACAGATAACTGGAAACTGTTCTCAAAATATCTTAGTATCAGATTGTCTAAGTCTATGCTAGCATAGCTTTGTGGAGCCCTGGAGGTATAAATATTAGAATGATGTCATGAAATAATTTATTATTTGTATGTATTTGTTAGTCATAGTTGTTTAATATTCAGGAATGAGTACAAATATTTCATTCTTGGTCTGTTTCAATGCATTTTAATCCAAAACATACTGTGAATGTATTTTCACACCGGTAATGGAATGGCTCAATGAGGTACACGTATTGGTGTTAATACCTCATTTAAGTTTGTGTTTGTTTTTTTCCTGTCGAAAATATAAACTGACTGTACACATGATAATATCTATAGCACTATACTGAACAAAGGAATCAACGAAACATGCAAATACCAATCTCATTAAAATCAGACCTCAGTTCTCGCTACCGCTAAACAAAGATCTGAGGACATCCCATTACGGGTCACGTCAGAACGACCTTTCATCCGACCAATCAGAGCATGGCTTACCAGATTATGAAAGTGACAGTCAGAATGTGATTTCTGATCATGCAGCCTCGAAAAGCTGCCTTCTGATTGGTCATTCCATTGGTCGGTCAAAGTTCGCGCAAGGTCGGTCTGACATGACCCGTAATGGGATGTCCTCAGATCTTTGTTTAGCAGTAGCGAGAACTAAGATCTGATTTTAATGAGATTGATGCAAATACATAGTTGTGGTAATGTAAGCATAATAGTCTGGTCATAGTCTATCCCAGCAGTGGTGCACCACGAATCAATTCTCTCAAACAGGGCGACATGGAAACATTTGCAGCGCAGGTCAACAGAGTGAATGAGTTGGATTTAATGCCACCTTGAATCTTATTTCAGTTGTATGACACTGTCAGTATAATGTGTGAGTGAGTATGATTTTACGCTGCTTTTAGCAATATTCCAGCAATATCACGATGGCAGACACCAGAAATGGGCTTCACACATTGTACCCATGTCGGGTATTGACAAGAAACGCTTTAACCACTAGGCTACCCGACCGCCCCGTCAGAATAATGAGAGAGAAATGCCACAAGTGACAGTCATATATTTATACCATTTGGGCTGGTCCCATATCAATTGGTACAGTGCTGACCAAGGATCACACACTGAGGACGAAGATGGGATTCAAACTCACACATGGATCCTGGTTCAGCCAAGGGCCACAACTCTGCATTATGATTGCTACAACTTTGGTCGGAACTGCCATTATCAGATTAATCCTCATCCACACCATCCTAAAAAGCAAACGTAAAGGACAACAAAAAACACATTGATAAATTGTGTTCATAAATCCTGAACATATTCCCCTGTGTCCCTGTGTTCGACAATCTTGGTGGAACTGGAATCAGACAGCCTTGGTGCACCACAGCATCGGTAAAAAATTGCAATACATGATGACCCTGTTCTGAGTATATACAATGTAAGCAACAAAATTCTAATAAAACATGCCACACACACAGTGCATCCTTCCATCATATTAGAAACTCCATCAGGTCAATACAATACCGCAGTTCCATAGACTATCATGTTTCACAGAGAAAACGATCAGCTTCTATTTCAGTATTCCACTGCCATGTTAATGACATACCAATGTCACACTGCAAATCTGAGACACTGTAATACTTAAAGTTGTTGACATTGTGGTGTTAGTTGTAGACCTTGTCCTTCACTGACTGGACACTCAGTGTCGTCACAGTCACACCCTGGGGTGACACCCAAGGCTTTTCAGCTCATCGTACACTGACAAATACGTGTATAACTGTTGCTGTAGCATCCAAACACTAATACTTACTTACTCCGTATTACAAGCAAATTTGTTCATGGTCTTTCCATCCACTACAATATAATTTCTTTACAATTTGTTACAAAAATTATTATCAAGCTCACCTTTCTTGACATTTTGTTCAAGTACTCGCCCCCCACCCCCTATTTTCCCATACCGCCATCACATATATTCATAAAATCATGTATTGAACTTATCAAAGCAAATAATGGTTATTGCAGGTTCAGCAACATATAAGTAATAATCCGTTGCCATAGTGACAAATACATTTGTCCATACCATTCAATGTGTTAAACTAATGTTCCATCAAAATGTCCTGCACACCTTGCAACATATACCGAACAATTCACATAAAGTAGTTTTAGAACAGGGCATATGTACAAATTTGAGATTCTAAATAAACAAAATTGGTCAAGTTTCTACAGAAGCAGCAAAACTAATGACAGGTATTTTATTATCTACAAAAGAGTAAAAATGATTGACATTATATTGAATATTGAATCTACAAAAATGCAACTAGGAAACCTCCGCAACACTGTATCTTAATATCATACACAGTCAGATGTAGTCAAGTTTGGTCCTCTTGCACACAGCTCATTATCAGGCCAAAACAAACGCCCTTCATCTCAGGTAAAACAATATAAAACTTGAAAAAATACCGCAAATACTTTCATAATTGTACTCCTGTTTTACACAACCCTTCAACAACACACGGACATACCCTATGGTAACATGAAGCCTGCTCAGCCTTCTATAAAATGTATGAGTATTCTTATATATTCAGTGAATGATCTCGACAGAGTAGCTATGCCCTGACAACTAGATTAAGGAGTGAGTGAGTGAGTGAGTACGTTTTACACTGCTTTTAAAAAAATTACCACGGCAAGGGACGCCAGAAATGAGCAGCACACATTGTTACCCTATGGGGAAATCTAACCTGGGTCTTCCGCATGACGAGTAAACTCTTTAACCACAAGGCTACCCCACTGCTCCATACTCAGGACAGAATGAATGGGATTATCATAACAGGCAGAGATACCGTGGCAGTAATCTGGACCAGACAAACCCGTGGTTGATGTTGTGACAATCAATCAATGGCTTCTGGGTGTGAGTGAGTGAGTGAGTGAGTTGGGTTTTACGCCGCTTTTAACAGTATTCCAGTTATATCACGGCGTGTCAGCTTAATGTGGGAGGAAAGCCCGAAGTGATGCAGGTCTCAGACGTTTACCACTTCGGTGAAACCCACGAGCACAGGTATGGTGCTGACAAACCTAGAAACATAATCGGGGCGAACTGGGATTCGAACCCACAATCATAGGTTTCTGGCGTGCCCAAGGGACGCAACTCTGCACAGCGAATCGTGGCGCCTTAGACGACTGGGCCACCCGTGCCCCCCTTCTGGGTGTGAATGAGGTCACAGTTGAGAGTTGGTGTTCCAAGGTCTCCCTTGGGTTTGATGCTACATTGATCAGTGCTGAAGTTGTTTCCTGATGGGTCAGGATAGTTGTGTGGAATGCCCGAAGTGAATCAGGTCACACGTTTGTATAAGCATAATTTCTGGATTGGTACCGATAGACAAAGATCAGAATTGTGGCAATCTGGGATTTGACCCATGACAGCAGAACCTGACACTGCAAAGGGACACAACTCTGGTGTCTGTGCCCCTCCAATCTCATCTATGTGGGTACTGTTTCACATCACATCACCAATCTAGTCAGGGACAGGCTGGTTTGAGACCAGATGTTGATAAAAAGTAAATAAGAATTCTACAAACAATCAATCTCATTAAAATCAGATCTTAGTTCTCGCTATCGCGAAACAAAGATCTGAGGACATCCCATTAAGGGTCACGTCAGATCGACCTTTCATCCAACCAATCAGAGCGTCGCTTACCAGATTATGAAAGTGACAGTCGGAATGTGTTTTCTAAACATGCAACCACGAAATATTGAACACATGTATTCCGAACGACAGTTACGGGTTTTATGATTATATCCATACAATCTAGGCCTTCTATAAGCCGTTCCAGAAAGTTCTGATCAGTTTTAATTTTTTTAATCGAGAATACGTCAAAATATGTTTTGAAGCGTAGTTGCAAGTTTGAAACTAGTGTCGTAAAGCTCAAGAGAGCTGCCTTCTGATTGGCTAATGTCGATTTCTTGTCAGTCATTTCATTGGTTGGACAAAATTCGCGAAAGGTCGTTCTGACGTGACCCGTAATGGGAGATTGACAAACAGTTTTCCAAAAAATGTTATACATAGGATCCCTATGTTCATATTGTTCAACATAATATGTTCATTTCTTTCAGTGAAGAAAGTTGCATTATAGAAAAGTAAAAACCACAAAGGCCACACAAATGTAATTACTTGTACAACAGATTCATTCTGAAAATAAATTAAAAATCTTAATGATTTAAGATGCATCAGTTTGGGGTTTGGGGTCCTTTCGCCTTGTTCGGACAGACCCAAAAGATCGGACACACAGATGTAATTACAAAGATGGTGAATTTGCGAAATAATTATTTTTGCATGGCCTTAAGCTCCATATAAAGAGTGAAAAATTGCACTGGAACAATTTCTTTTGATGACAGATCAAGTTAATAGCATGCTTCTTGCTTTGTTATCCATGTACTTCGATTACAAACACTGTCAGTGCAATGCGTATTGTGCGTCATCGTGGTAAGAAATAGCTTGTTCATGTCATCAGTCGGGTGATATCACACAAACAGAAGCTGACACCATGAGGACGACATGTCGATATCTTGATCGCAGCTTGATATGACTTCCAAAACATGTTAACATCATGATAATGACATGTTAATGTAAATTTCATTGTTGTCATCCTGATATCAAATTGATGTATTGATATCACGTCAAATCTTAATGACACTACATGCTATTTTTATGTTGATAGCATGTCAATATCACATTGAAAACACTCGATATCGTGCAGATAACATATGATAACGTTTCTTGTCACAGCAGTATGTGAACTTGTCATATTCCTCCAAAATTATCCACACATAGCCTTTACATCAACCACTAGGAAGCAGCTTCAACAGCCAATCGGAATGCTCGGTACATGTGCCACCTATGTCTATACACAGTCCTCCATAGACATCAACAATGGATTCACATACTCAAAGCCGTCAAACTCTGATTGATCGATCTTGTCAATCACTTTCCTGAAAACAAAAACAAAACTTTTATGATAAACATACCTACACTTCTGCTACAATGTGGGCATCTGTCACACAAGACACGGTACACAAATAAACAAATAATGTTACCCAATCCATTAAGTCACCTCTTCTCAACAGCAGGGTTGCTTGGGACCAATTCTTACCCAGAATCCCCATGGGTGGGAGGGATGGTGAGGGGGGTGAGTTAGTGAGGGAGGGAGGAATGAGGAATTTATGACATGTGGAAATAAAAAAATAACAAATCTACCCTGAACAGATTAACCACTTGGCTACCCCACCCATTTTAACCCTGTCAGTAAGTACTCACCCACAACTCTCAGGTCACCCCAACCATTTTAACCCTGTCAGTAAGTACTCGTCCACAACTCTCTGGTCACCCCACCCATTTTAACCGTCAGTAAGTACTCGTCCACAACTCTCAGTTCATCCCGTCCATTTTAACCCCGTCAGTAAGTACTCTTCGACAACTCTCAGGTCATCCCACCCATTTTAACCCTGTCAGTAAGTACTCGTCCACAACTCACGGGCCACCCCACCCATTTTAACCCTGTCAGTAAGTACTCGTCCACAACTCTCAGGTCACCCCACCCATTTTAACCCTGTCAGTAAGTACTCGTCCACAACTCACGGGCCACCCCACCAATTTTAACCCCGTCAGTAAGTACTCGTCCACAACTCTCAGGCCACCCCGTCCATTTTAACCCTGTCAGTAAGTACTCGTCCACAACTCACGGGCCACCCCACCCATTTTAACCCCGTCAGTAAGTACTCGTCAACAACTCTCAGGCCACCCCACCCATTTTAACCCTGTCAGTAAGTACTCGTCCACAACTCACGGGCCACCCCACCCATTTTAACCCTGTCAGTAAGTACTCGTCCACAACTCTCAGGTCATCCGGCCCATTTTAACCCCGTCAGTAAGTACTCATCCACAACTCTCTGGTAATCCAACCCATTTTAACCCTGTCAGTAAGTACTCGTCCACAACTCACGGGCCACCCTACCCATTTTAACCCCGTCAGTAAGTACTCGTCCACAACTCTCAGGCCACCCCACCCATTTTAACCCCGTCAGTAAGTACTCGTCCACAACTCTCAGGCCACCCCACCCATTTTAACCCTGTCAGTAAGTACTCATCCACAACTCTCGGGTAATCCCACCAATTTTAACCCCATCAGTAAGTACTCGTCCACAACTCTCTGGTCACCCCACCCATTTTAACCGTCAGTAAGTACTCGTCCACAACTCTCAGGTCATCCCGTCCATTTTAACCCCGTCAGTAAGTACTCTTCGACTACTCTCAGGTCATCCCACCCATTTTAACCCTGTCAGAAAGTACTCGTCCACAACTCACGGGCCACCACACCCATTTTAACCCTGTCAGTAAGTACTCGTCCACAACTCTCGGGCCACCCCGTCCATTTTAACCCTGTCAGTAAGTACTCGTCCACAACTCACGGGCCACCCCACCCATTTTAACCCCGTCAGTAAGTACTCGTCCACAACTCTCAGGTCACCCCACCCATTTTAACCCTGTCAGTAAGTACTCGTCCACAACTCACGGGCCACCCCACCCATTTTAACCCTGTCAGTAAGTACTCGTCCACAACTCTCAGGTCATACGGCTCATTTTAATCCCGTCAGTAAGTACTCATCCACAACTCTCGGGTAATCCAAGCCATTTTAACCCTGTCAGTAAGTACTCGTCCACAACTCTCAGGTCATCCCACCCATTTTAACCCCGTCAGTAAGTACTCATCCACAACTCACGGGCCACCCTACCCATTTTAACCCTGTCAGTAAGTACTCGTCCACAACTCTCAGGTCATCCGGCCCATTTTAACCCCGTCAGTAAGTACTCATCCACAACTCTCGGGTAATCCAACCCATTTTAACCCTGTCAGTAAGTACTCGTCCACAACTCTCAGGTCATCCCGTCCATTTTAACCCCGTCAGTAAGTACTCTTCGACAACTCTCAGGTCATCCCACCCATTTTAACCCTGTCAGAAAGTAGTCGTCCACAACTCACGGGCCACCACACCCATTTTAACCCTGTCAGTAAGTACTCGTCCACAACTCTCGGGCCACCCCATCCATTTTAACCCCATCAGTAAGTACTCGTCCACAACTCTCAGGCCACCCCACCCATTTTAACCCTGTCAGTAAGTACTTGTCCACAACTCTCAGGTCACCCCACCCATTTTAACCCTGTCAGTAAGTACTCGTCCAAAACTCACGGGCCACCCCACCCATTTTAACCCCGTCAGTAAGTACTCGTCCACAACTCTCAGGCCACCCCACCCATTTTAACCCTGTCAGTAAGTACTTGTCCACAACTCTCAGGTCACCCCACCCATTTTAACCCTGTCAGTAAGTACTCGTCCAAAACTCACGGGCCACCCCACCCATTTTAACCCCGTCAGTAAGTACTCGTCAACAACTCTCAGGTCACCCCACCCATTTTAACCCTGTCAGTAAGTACTCGTCAACAACTCACGGGCCACCCTACCCATTTTAACCCTGTCAGTAAGTACTTGTCCACAACTCTCAGGTCATCCCATCCATTTTAACCCCATCAGTAAGTACTCGTCCACAACTCTCGGGTCACCCCACCCATTTTAACCCTGTCAGTAAGTACTCGTCCACAACTCACAGGCCACCCCACCCATTTTAACCCTGTCAGTAAGTACTCGTCCACAACTCTCGGGTCACCCCACCCATTTTAACCCTGTCAGTAAGTACTCGTCCACAACTCTCAGGTCATACGGCCCATTTTAACCCCGTCAGTAAGTACTCATCCACAACTCTCAGGTCACCCCACCCATTTTAACCCCGTTAGTAAGTAGTCGTCCACAACTCTCAGGTCACCCCACCCATTTTAACCCTGTCAGTAAGTACTCGTCAACAACTCACGGGCCACCCTACCCATTTTAACCCTGTCAGTAAGTACTTGTCCACAACTCTCAGGTCATCCCATCCATTTTAACCCCATCAGTAAGTACTCGTCCACAACTCTCGGGTCACCCCACCCATTTTAACCCTGTCAGTAAGTACTCGTCCACAACTCACAGGCCACCCCACCCATTTTAACCCTGTCAGTAAGTACTCGTCCACAACTCTCGGGTCACCCCACCCATTTTAACCCTGTCAGTAAGTACTCGTCCACAACTCACGGGCCACCCCACCCATTTTAACCCTGTCAGTAAGTACTCGTCCACAACTCTCTGGCCACCCCACCCATTTAACCCTGTCAGTAAGTACTCGTCCACAACTCACGGGCCACCCCACCCATTTAACCCTGTCAGTAAGTACTCGTCCACAACTCTCGGGTCACCCCACCCATTTTAACCCTGTCAGTAAGTACTCGTCCACAACTCACGGGCCACCCCACCCATTTTAACCTCGTCAGTAAGTACTCGTCCACAACTCACGGGCCACCCCACCCATTTTAACCTCGTCAGTAAGTACTCGTCCACAACTCACGGGTCATCTGGTGTGAGCTGGACTGGCTCGTTGGTGAAGGCAGGGTCGAAGTGTTCCAGGTCCCGGTCAGACTTGATGACAGGCTTGTACGGGGGAGCGATCTGCTTCCGCTCCATCATGTCCCAGTCGATGGCACGGAAGAACGGGTGGGACTGGATATCCGCGAACCCGGTCTGGGCGTGGCACCCCAAGCGCTCCTTCGGGCTCTGAAGGTACCAAATATCAAGTGCATTTATGCTTTGTTTCTTGAATCCGAACTTGAAGCTATAATGCATCCGTAACTTATGACATAACTTAAAATCCCTGTCCACTATTTTCTCACTGTACTAATGGTCATGATGAAACTGAACAGATGTGAATCAAATTTCTTGTGTGACAATAAACAGATCTCAGCATACAGGGAACCAGGGAGTGGATCAACATGTCTCTCTCACAGCTATTTACATATACACAAGCCGACATGAATTCATTACATAATATTGAGTTAAAACATATCACATCATCATAGCGTTATACATCCTCCCGAGGCAAATGGAGATAACTGACTGTAAAACTGAACTAGGTTGGAATTGTGGAATTAAGTTTTGGCTTCACTAATGTGTCTATGCATCATCCAATCAAAATCGCGTCACAAAATCTACATCCGGTTCGAAAACAAAATGGATTACAACAGGCAGATTTCGGTCGACTGCAGGATTTGCAAAGGATGTGTACCGTCAACTGGTTATTTTAAAAAAAAAATTATGTTTTTAATCAAGGTGCTCACGTGTTTTGATGCACTTCACTAGTGATATGAGAGGTGGAATCTGATTGGTCAATAAGAGGAGCATAGCATTCTAGCCCTGTTCAGCAATGGTGGAAACTGGACATTTACTGTCAGTTAATTCCCTTGCCTCAGGAAGATGAACGTAATAGGAAAAATATAACAGATTACATGTACAAAGATAGTGCTAAGGAGATGTAACGTTTTTGCAATGCTGATAACATTCAATACAATACCTTGTTAAGGAATCCCTTCAGAACTGATGCAGCCTTTACAGACAGGGATCTCGGGATTCGGATTGTCTTCTCAAGAATAACTGAAAACATTCATACAATGTACTACACGAAACAAGACAAGGATTGTTGTATCTGTTTTTCATAGCATGAAATATGATTTTTTGTACATACCATTTTATACTTTTCTTATTTTCATGTTTTTATTGAACTGACATTTTGCATGCCAAACTTCAAACTTCAGGCCTCATTCTGAATTTATTTCTCACAGGCAAACTATGTCACACTGACAAAAATATATCAAAAACAAATGGCCTCATTTCGAAATTAAATGATCACAAAAGACTTGTCTAATTCATACGACAACCATAAGGGTCAACATCAAAAGAAAGCCTCACTCTGGAATAAGTAGTCCTCTGTATTCTGGTCCGGGTTGTCAGCGTTACCGACAACATCAAAAGGCGATCGTCCTGCCAACATCTCGAACATCAAGACTCCTAGAGCCCACCAATCTACACTGAAGTCTGTAACAACCACACAGAGCAACACATCATAACGACAATAATTATATCTTCCCCTTGGGGATTCTGAGGTACAATTTTGTTTGTTTGTTGTTGAACGCCTCACTCAGCAATATTCCAGCTATATGATGGTGGTCTGTAAATAATTGAGTCTGGACAAGATGATCCAGTGATTGACATCATGAACATTGATCCACGCAATTGGGATCGATGACATGCATCAACCAAGTCAGCGAGCCTGACCAACCGATCTTTTATGACAAGCAAAGTCACCTTTTATGGCAAGCATGGGTAGCAGAAGACCTATTCTACCCCGGATCTTCACAGGTCCTGAGGAATTAGTCCCCAGCAACCTTACTGGATGTAAGAGGTAACTTGTTTGTTTGCGTGTCATTGTGGCCCGGTGGAATGGGACCTTGCACATAATATCAGTCACTGGATTGTCTGGTCCAGACTTGGTTATTGAGAGGCTGACGTTACACGCTATCAATCAGGTCACCGAGTCTGACCACCAGAGCCTCTATCGACCAGAATAGGTTGCTGGGGACTGAGTCTGACCACCAGAGCCTTTAATGACCAGAATAGGTTGCTGGGGACTGAGTCTGACCACCAGAGCCTCTATCGACCCAAATAGGTTGCTGGGGACTGAGTCTGACCACCAGAGCCTCTATCGACCAGAATGGGTTGCTGGGGACTGAGTCTGACCACCAGAGCCTCTATCGACCAGAATGGGTCGCTGGGTACTGAGTCTGACCACCAGAGCCTCTATCGACCAGAATGGGTCGCTGGGGACCCAGTCTGACCACCAGAGCCTCTAACGACCAGAATAGGTCGCTGGGGACCCAGTCTGACCACCAGAGCCTCTATCGACCAGAATGGGTCGCTGGGGACCGATTCTAACACAAAATTCCCAAAGGAAACAGTTCAACAAACAGGAAGATTTCATTTGTTGTAAGACCACATGCAATCACACATTTACAGCTTTGGGTGATTCTCAGCTGCTAGCGTTGTCCATGTCCAAGGCCATGGGGAGAGCTAGAACAGTTAGGAATATTCCTGGATCAGACAAACCAGAAACCATTGTGATGAAATTAATTCAACCAGGGTCTCATTCCAATGGACTTCACACACTGAACCCAAGTTGGGAATCAAACTCGGACCTTTGAGGTGATGGGTGAACACTTTAGCCACTAAAGCCACCTCACAGCCCTCACTTTGTGCTTGAAATCCCAGGTCATCAGTGAGTTAGGGAGTAAGTTCAAATTTATGTCCAATTGGCAGTGGCCATTAGTGAGAGTTATCCTCTTAGAATTTACTCCCTTCACAAATGATCATTCCTTCTCAAAAGCCATTTTGGTCATCCAATCACCATTTTAGCCATTGGATGTAGATTTTTTCAAGGACCTATTCTGCCACAGGAATGAAGGACTGGTTGAGTCATAAATATATGGTAATGTATTTGTGCTGGGACGGGTAACTCGTGGTTAGTCACGTGATATATTGTTTTATGACAAAAAGTATCTACAAGTCACTAATGTTCCCAGTTCCTCCTGACTACTACACCCATTCCTTCTGACTTTTATATGTTTGAATAAAAATAAAACTTCAGTCAACTTCAGTGTACACACCAGATCATTTCATACATGTATCTAAACACATTTTACCAGAGCTACGGTCAAACTTTTCCCAATCGGACAGTTTGTACCTACCTCTTGAGACCTACAGCGGGTACCCGGGTAGGGTCGGGTAACAGGGGGATGGGTACCCGGTAAGTAAATTTTGACTCGTCTCAGCCCTATAATGTATGTAATTACAAAATGTGCCAAATGGTAAAATGCTGTGCTTTGAACAGAAGCAGGAAAGAACAAGCATTTGACAGTAGTATATATCGCAAACATTTCACAGGAGGGGCAGTAGCTGCATATCACACAAGCTGAGGTCACCAACAGGAATGCTTCTTACACAAATTATATTGTACAAAGGACTTAAAAGTATTGTTTTTTGAGAAGCAAAGGCACACTTGATGACTCTTGAAAATTTGAATGTTGTGTTATCCTGTAGTCAGCAATATCCAACATTGTGAGCCTTCTAGCCAGAATCGGTTTCAGTAAATTCTGGTCATGTGCATCTTTTCATATGGTCTATTATTAGCTGAGCTCAAAAGACCAAACAGAATTCTACTAGACTAGGGCTTCATACTAGTGTCTAAAGTCTCAGGCTGTTAATATCGTGACATTAATAGAGAGTGGCAGCCAACCAGTGGTTGATAGCACAAGCAACAATCATTGTAACCACCCAAACCTGCTTAGTCAGCTTTTTGACAAGCAGGATTCCCCATATTTCTATTTTCATACCATTTACGGTCAACCAATGCTAATCAAAGAAAATGGCCTAAAGGACACTCTGCTTATAAAATGGCCTTTGGTTCCGCTTCACATGACAAGATGCCAGGAGATGTAGACAACACCTGATGTTGCGAGTGAGTATGGTTCTTTGTCGATGTGAACAGATTCAGTTATCATGGTGTGTCATCTTCAAGTAGAAGAAAGCCCACGACGCCCCAGGTCCTAGAAGTTTACCATTTTGGTGAAAATCCCAGGCTCAAGGCTTTGTTTCACAAAGTAACGCAACGGCTGTGGATGTTAAAGTATGGGTATTACGACCGTCGTAGCTTTACGGTCGCTCTGTGTAATGGGGATCAGGTGTAGTGCTGACAAACCAAGTATCATAAACAGTGTGAATCTGGAAATCGAGGCTATGCAGGGTCCTCAGATTCTGGCACAACCAAGGGAGGCAACTCTTCACACTGAATTACGACTGGGCCACATGCGTTTGTCAAGAGGTAAGTGTGTCAAATTGAGACTGTAAGTCACACCAGAGCAGTAAGAAGATGGAACATTGTTTTTCATTAATTATTCAAAGAAACACTAGAATCAGGAAACCTACCAGAATATTCATGACTGACTTTAAATAACTGGATAATGGCCGATAAGGACAAAAAGCTGCATCATTTATTTTGCAGTTGATGATTTCACTGCAACAGCTGAGCATGAGTGAGTGAGTGAGTCAGGGTACTAGGCTAAGTCAGCAATGTTACAGTTCTATCAAGGCTGAATGGTCCTGCACGGTACTAGGCTAAGTCAGCAATGTTACAGCTATATCAAGGCTGAATGGTCCTGCAAACTAGGACTTGACAATGTCAGCACTGAGATATGTCAGGATACAATGATACATGATCAGCCAATCACTGAGAACTGAACACAGCTGAGTTTGTTGGGTCAACACTGCTGTTGAACAGCAATTATATATCAATGTGTCAACTTATATTAATTAACGCCCAAACCAAGGCAGGTTAGCATTTACCTCTTTGTGAAACCCATGAGCACTACTGGCATTGATAAACCAAGGGCCATTATCTTGATAAATCTGAGATTCAAACCAACAATCAGCAAATCCTGGCATGACTAAGGGACATAACTCTGCACAGAGAAAAGTGGCACCTCAGAGACCAGAGTAATTGAATACAGCCATTGTGGCCACCTGATCAACAATCAATGGGACATGGTCTGGCCTGGCAATCCCCACAGGAATCGGCCATGGAGGTGCCAATATACAGATCAAAGATGCAACTGGGCAACTGCATCACTTACATTTGTCATATGTAACATGGTCCGGCCTGTCAATCCCCAAAGTAAGCGGTTATGAAGGTGCCAGTATACACATCAAAGATACATCTAGGAAACTGCATCCATTAAATTTTACATAAATTAATGTTAATTTTTATTTTTCAAAGGTACTGAAACTTAAAAAGTTTTAAGAAAGACAAAAATTGTGTAAACAATAGAACATGCTGAATTAGTCTACAAGAAATTCAGTTCTACTGTGCTTCAGTTAATTACACATCATCATTCTCATTTGACAAATTTATTACAAAATATTATTCAGATAAGAAAGGATGACGAAAAATGTGATGGAACAAGCAGGAATAACAAGGCACATGATTGGCTGACACCAAGCTAATTTCTGATTGGATAATGGTTTTGCATTCACTTTACTTTGTCTAACAACTTCAAGACATGTTGAGCTGTCATTTTAGCTTTTTAAGATTTGTTTAGTATCTTTGGTTCTTTTAAAAAAAGTTGATTCTTCTTCAAGTTTCATGTAACTTATAGTTCATTACCTAAGACATGTTGGTTTCTGAAGCTAGTTTTCCCATAAGGCCAGACAAATTCCATCACTTGTTTAAGCAGATCGGCAACTGTTTCCACATTGCAAAAAACATAAATCTCTGTAAATCATCAAGAATTTTCGGGTAAACAATATCAGCTCAGAAATCTTGAGATGTCGAAAATGCGAAAGTTATAGTGGACTTTCAGTGCAATAAATTAAAAAAAAAAATCATAAACAAAATAAATGTTAAAAAACCCAACTCTGATTGATTAATGTTATTTACCCAATTGTGAACATAGATTAAGGTCGTTAGTGGATTCACAAACCTCCAGCTGGCATTTCCAATGTTGCTCAAATATGATTTGCTGATGTGAAAAAGACATGCATAATTTCTGATTGGTTGAGTAGCCTGTTCAAAAGTGATTCAAAGAAGATTTAGTCAGTTCAGAAATGGATATTACTGATACGTAAATCATTCAACATGTAATTTTGCCTTTTTTCTAATTCATAACTTTCCACCAGCTTTCAGACATTTTTTAAGGAAAAAAACATACAAGTAACTGAAATTTGTCTGGCCATCACAATCAAGGAAGGATGAATATCCCTGATGTACTGAGTGGTTCAAAATCATAAGAAGGCTTGTACACTAGTGACCAACATTTTTGGTGCATATGTTGTAAATAATGACAAAAAAATCAGCTATAAATAATATATGAAGTTGTCAAACAAGTTCTGTACGATCTAAACACTATTTGTCACACAGTATTCCTCAATACCGTAATCCTCTCCCCGTAGAACCTCAGGCGCAATGTAGTTCGGAGTTCCACAGAACGTGTTAGTCTGGTCCCCCGACCACAATCCTTCCTACGATACGCAAAATCAAGAAAACACACATTGAGTACTGTTGCCATCAAACTAAACATGGCAGCTGTTTGATGATGGATGATACCATTATCTTGAAAGGGGTGCACAACCTGCTACCCCCTTCTGCAAATGGACTGAAATAAAAGTTATGCTATCTAATAACTTTGATGGAGTTTGGATTAAAACAAAACAGATTTCTACCTGTGAAAATATTAGTACTTGATTAGCTGTCAGGAAAACACTTGTAATGGCAGATAAGAAATGTTCCAAGTCAATCCAAATTCCACCAAAGTCCCAACAAGCATTCGTAGGAAGGGGCTGTCTGTACAAACTAATTTCTCAAACCTGTTATCAGATTATGCAAAGTATTAAACTGTTGTTACATGCAGTCAGCTTTGGACATAATGCAGGTTCCATCCCCAAACTATTGTCCCTCTGTGGAGCTGTAACAATAGACTGAACAACAGCTGAATTACAATCATAACTGCATCATTGCATCGTGCAGTGCTACCCTGATCTACCAATGGCAACCAAATGTTTAAAACCTTAACTCCAACATGTCTAAAACAACAGTTACTTGGGTTTCAATGCCACTTTGGACATTAATTCAGTCCTCTCATACAAGAAAGTGCAAGATGGGGACCCATAAGCACAGGTCAGATGCTGGCAGATAAACGTTCGTAATCAGGCCCAGAACAGGTATGATGCTGACAGAAATATGTTATCTCCCTTTATAAAGACAACATTATATGCTTAATTCTTGACATGATTTAAAACTGAGGGCACTGACAGCAAACTCAAGCAAAGCAAATATACTTTTTTATTTATTATGTCCAAAGCTGCCTATATTTTCATAGACAAAGACCCCCATAGTCCTTCCTCCACTGGTTCATTTATACAGACAACCCCACCTTCAACCAGGCATCAAATGAAAGACAAGAATGTTCGCGCCCAGGACAAACGTACCATATTCCTCGCCTCGTAGTATTTCTGGCGCAATATAGTTTGGCGTGCCGCAAAATGTCCCTGTGGTATCTCCTGAGCCCAGCCCCTCCTGATGTTGTGAGAATGTCAGTGAATCAACACATACATGGCATGCATGGGGGAACTCAATCTCATTGAAACCAGACATTTTACTCCAAAACAATACCTCTCTGCATCAAGATCTAGGGACACCTCAAATCAGGTTAACCCTGCGTAAACTATGACCACTCAATCTAAATGAAAGATGCATGTGTTCCTGAGCCAAAAAGATGTAAGCTTCTTAAACGATTCAGCTACAATTCTTCACCATCTCGATTTGTACAACTGAAAAGCTAGAGTGAGTGTGTATGGTTTTACGCCGCTTTTAGCAATATTCCAGCAATATCACTGCGGGGGACACCAGAAATGGGCTTTGTACCCATGTTGGGAATCGAACCCGGGTCTTCGGCGTGACAAGCGAACGCTTTAACCACTAGGCTACCCGACCGCCCCGAAAAGCTAGAGACTTCAAGTATACTGGTACTGTCTTTTAGGTTTAAATGTCATTGCACATAGAAACGAATCGTGCTTAAAATATCCACAACCATATAATGTTGCATCCTTATTCATCTACCTTCAGGGCTTGTTATTTATGTTCGTTTTTGCATCACAGAAATTATATGTGATCAACCATGTGATAAGGGACCGTTTGGGTGAAAAATCACGTTTTGACTTCTTATTATATTTTAAACCTACAGTATCCTAGGACCACAAAAATATAATTAATAACCTTCAAATCATATTTATTACAGAGACACATGGCATATAAACATTTGGGGTCATTTTCCGCAAAGTCCCATTATAAATGTTTACGTAATTATTGCAGTTTTTAGATATAACGTCTGAACGTCGTCAATTGAAAGCAGACATGTATGCTGAAAAGTTTTTAAATAATGTTTTTATAACATTGCGAAACTGATGAGAGCAAAATAAGATACTTTTTAGCAGTCCGCACACATGGCGAAATAAACAGAAGTAAATTTCTTACGTTCTACGTCTTTCTTCATGACACCATAGCACAATTGTATCCCAGCACCCATAAGGTCCCTTTTCTCCTGGTGGGTCACATATGCTGGTCTGTTGGTTGGTTGGTTTGTTGTTTAACGCCGCACTCAGCAATATTCCAGCTATATGACGGCAGTCTGTAAATAATCGAGTCTGGACCAGACAATCCAGTGATTGATATCATGAGCATCAATCCATGCATTTGGGATCGATGACATGCATCAACCAAGTCAGCTAGCCTGACCACCCGATCCCGTTAGTCGCCTTTTACGACAAGCATGGGTTGCTGAAGACCTATTCTAACCCAGAATCTTCACAGGTCAATGCTGGTCTGAATGCTTTGCTCCATAGAACCAAGACTTTTGAAGCCTCGACACTGATTGGTTGATTACAAAGTTCAACCATGTCAACCTCCTATGGAGGTTTCCAGATCTTCACGCACAGAGGTATGATATCGGAGTAAAACATCTGATTCTAATGAGACTGGGGGCAACAAGCATTGGGATAATCTCATCGTAGCAGTTGAAGAGTATGCATGCTTGACTGTAGAGAGATTTTCACCTTGTCTTACACCAACATTAAAGGGAAAATAAGATGATATGCAAATGTTAAGCATAACAGTAGCGAGTGAGTTGGGTTTAACGCCACTTTAAACAGTATTCCAGTTATATCATGGCGTGTCAGCTTAATGTGGGAGGAAAGCCCGAAGTGATGCAGGTCTCAGACGTTTACCACTTTGGTGAAACCCACAAGCACGGGTATGGTGCTGACAAACCTAGAAACATAATCGGGACGAACCGGGATTCGAACCCACAATCATAGGTTTCTGGCGTGCCTTAGGGACGCAACTCGGCAGAGCGAATTGCGGCGCCTTAGACGACTGGGCTACCTGTGCCCCCAGCATAAGATGGAATGGGTCACAAAGTCACATCAATCCATATCATAGGGGTATGATGTCACACCAGTGCAGCCAAGGAAGTAACCTTGGTAACCCTTCCCAGTATCTGTTTCTCCTGTTCTGGGCACCTAATCTATGCCTTGCAACAGATTTGATGGTGTTTGTGCATCCATGCTATCTAGGTCCAATGGGAGACATGACTATGATGCTATACATACAAACAAGATCACACGACTGAAGGCACAATGACAAATAATGACATGATTCATTCATGCAGATGAAACAGCATTGACACATGAAACATTTCTGTGATAAAATTCATGAAATCAACAAATGCAAATTCAATTCATATTTAAATGGGTATACTGTTTCTTTGTTGTTTACCACCGCACTCAGCAATATTCCAGCTATATGACGGCGGTCTGTAAATAATCAAGTCTGGACCTGACAGTCCAGTGATTGACATCATGAGCATCGATCCATGCAGTTGGGATACGATGACATGTATCAACCAAGTCAGCGAGCCTGACCACCCGATCCTGTTAGTCGGCTCTTTCGACAAGCATTTGTTGCTGAAGACCATTTCTAACCATACTGAGATATTTTCTACCCTTATCATTTTGTTCCATTGCATATTATGAATATCCCTCTAAACATTTGACGAGTATAGTTTTAGATACTGATGGATTTGGAAATGTCACTGGATGTTGACAAAGATAAAGTCTAAGAAAATTTATCTTAAAGCATTAGTTTCTCATATTCTGCTTCTAAAATCAAACTTTAAAATTAACTTCCAGATGTATATGTTAGAGACTGTCATTGGTTGGAAATTCCAATATCGGAATACTTTAAGTAATGGTACAACAGAGAGGAGTACAATCAGATATGTTTACAGCTTGCGGACCTGTGAAGATCCCGGGCAGAATAGGTCTTCGGCAACCCATGCTTGCCGTAAAAAGCGACTAGGCTTGTCGTAAGAGGTGACAAACGGGATCGGGTGGTCAGGCTCGCTGACTTGGTTGATGCATCGATTCGATGCTCATGATGTCAATCACTGGATTGTCTGATCCAGACTCGATTATTTACAGATCGCCGTTATATAGCTGGAATAAGTGCGGTGTTAAACAGCAAACAAAACAAAATACAGCTTGTGAGTCAGTTCATGATTCAAATGTTCATCCAAGTTTCACATTTCTAAGCATCACAAAGATTCCAAATTACTGACAAAATAATAAAAACTTTACTGAAAGTTGGCCTGAGTTTAGAAAATATTTCAAAGTGTAATAATTATGCTTGTAATGCTTTTCTCATTTGATGTATCAGGACTATTAGGAATTAAGGGGGGTCCTGAAGGTCTTGTATGGTATTTGTATCAAAGGACTCCAAATCTTTAAGTTTTAACAGAAGGGTTACGACAAGGAACCCTTGACTTTCATGCTTAATTTCAAACACAGAGACTGACAGTATCAATATTTTGAATTTCAATGACACCCCAAAAATATATAAAGATGGACAACTACCGGTACTCTGATTGAGGAGGAAGAAATATTTGCTACATACCTTGCACATGCCGTAGTCAGTCAGTTTAATGTGGCCTTCTGCATCCAGCAGCACATTGTCTAACTTCAGATCTCGATACACAATACCTGAATACACAGAGTGAGTGAGTGAGTGAGTGAGTGAGTGAGTCGGCGTTGATGCAGCTTTGATTTTGTTTTTTTGTTTTGTTGTTTGATGCCACACTCAGCAATATTCCAGCTTTATGACGGCAGCAGTAAATAATCACATCTGGTAAGGTGAGGTGAAATGGTGTGTAACGTCACGTCCAAGATTATTGCACTTATATGGCGACGCACATGCACTTACCCGGTATGTATGCGTGTGTGTGGCTCCCTGTACTTGTCCGGACTAATGCCAACTTTTTAGTGTGAGTCCACTCACATACCATGCTGCAGTTTAACATGACTACCCAACTCAGACACAGTATACTGACTCCGAGCCGACCAGTCCTTGTTTTAGCCCCTTAATGCCGAGCGCCAGACAGGTAACAAGAAGTACCATCTTTTAACGTCTTTTGGGATGATGCGGACAGGCAGACCCTCTACCACTTGACCATGGAGGCAGTTTAATCAAATCAAAGCCAGGGATTGATATTGTGAACAACAATCCACTAACCTCAGGTACGATGACACGTAATCAACTAAGTCACAGAGCCTGACCACTGTATCCAATTAGTTGCCTCTTGCAACCAGTATAGGTTACTGGCGACCATTTCTAACCCAGAATTCCCACAGGGTGATGTGGCTTTGAACCACAGTTCAGTTATTTCACTGTAGGTTAGACATTTACCACGAGCGTGAAACTTGTAAGGAATCGTATGATACTGAACTAATAGATCACAATGAGGGCACACCTGGGAGTTGAATCGAACACCAGCAGACCAAGCTTAAAACACCTTCCAGTGAAAGATGCCAAGACAGAGAATCCTTGCAGAAATCTACCTTGCATGCAGAACCACACTTTTAAGCAGAAAATATGCAGAAAATGGCAGGTTCATGATCAATACACAAACACTGCTCCTTTTGAAAATTGCAAAAATTGCAATTTTTGTTGTCATTTTCAGAATTGGATGGCAAGGGATTTGTGGGGAAGGGTGAGAGATTCCTCATGTGACTCTTGCTCTGGATCTGCCTTTGACATCAGTTTCATAAGCAGTGATCTTAATCTAGTGGTCAAAATCTAGTTGTCACTATATGGCTGTAATATTGCCTATGCGATGATAAATATCATCCCAAACACTCCCCTATAAGCCCAGCCACATAAACGTCACCTCTCTCATGTAAGTAGTTCAGTGCCAGACAGATCTCGGCGCCGTAGAACCTGGCATGTTCCTCTGGCAGACGGCGCTGTCTCTGCATGTGGAACATGAGGTCGCCGCCGTTGACGAACTCTATCACAAAGAACAGCCTGGAAAAAACAATGTTGAATACAGCTATGTCATAATATCCAAAGACAGGTGTCCACTGACCAAACTTTGATATTTGGCGCCAATGGTTTGATAAACAGGAAGCACTTACATAAGGTTTCTAATGTTTGAGTTTATTTCTGTTTGCCTATCCACTTCATTATGATGGAAAGAGAGTGAGTGAGTTAGTTAAAATTTAACGTTGCATTAGCATTATTTCTACCATATAGCGACTGTGATGGAAAGACAGTATGATGTAGTTACTTAAAGCAACAGATACCAAATGTACAATAAATGACAAAACACAAAGTGTAGCCTCTTGTCATCCAATTAAAAGTCAAATGTGAGTTACGATCAAATTATCATGAGGATTGCTTTGTTTGTTTGTTTGTTGTTTAATGCCGCACTCAGCAATATTCCAGCTATATGACCCAAAGCCTGGATGCATAGCCATTAAATTTGTGTCGTACATAATCCCCAAGTGGATGACTTGATGGTTTGACCTTCACCTACCTGCTGGGAGACTGAAAGCAGGAATGCAGTCCTACAAGGAAGGGGTAGTTGGTGGCAGTTTCAAACACATGTTTCTCTGTCTGAACCCAGTCAATATCCTGCAACAAAACACAGTAGCAGTCTACAGATATGTTTCTATATCATGTTTCTAATCTCACCCTACGGACCCTCATGTCTCGAATCTCACGCTACGGACCCTCATGTCTCTAACCTCACCCTATGGACCCTCATGTCTCTAATCTCAATCTACAGACCCTCATGTCTCTAACCTCACCCTACGGACCCTCATGTCTCTAATCTCACCCTACAGACCCTCATGTCTCTAATCTGACCGTATGGACCCTCATGTCTCTAATCTCACCCTACAGACCCTCATGTCTCTAACCTCACCCTACAGACCCTCATGTCTCTAATCTCACCCTACGGACCCTCATGTCTCTAATCTCACCCTACGGACCCTCATGTCTCTAATCTCACACTACGGACCCTCATGTCTCTAATCTCACCCCATGGACTCTCAAATCTCTAACTGACATCAGTCTACAGACCCTCATGTCTCTAACCTCACCCTACAGACCCTCATGTTTCTAATCTCACCCTACGGACCCTCATGTCTCTAATCTCACCCACGGACCCTCATGTCTCTAATCTCACCCCATGGACTCTCAAATCTCTAACTGACATCAGTCTACAGACCCTGATGTCCCTAACCTCACCCTACAGACCCTCATGTCTCTAATCTCACCCTTCGGACCCTCATGTCTCTAATCTCACCCCATGGACTCTCAAATCTCTAACTGACATCAGTCTACAGACCCTCATGTCCCTTGCTCCACAGTAGACCCTAATGTGTCTGACCTTTGCTGACCTCCCTCCACATACCCTCACCTCGACCTCTGATGACCCCACCCTACAGACCCTCATGTCCCTGACATCATCCAATAGATTTGTATGTACTTAACCTCTGACCTCATCCGAAAGTCCCTCATGTCTCTAACCTCACCCTACGGACCCTCGTGTCTCTAATCTCACCCTATGTACCCTCATGTCCCCAACTCCACACAAGACCCTTATGTGTCTGACCTTTGCTGACCTCACTCCACAGACCCTCATGTCCCTGACCTCAACATTCAGATTCACAAGTCCCTGACCTCACCCTATGTCCATGACCTTCACTGACCTCATCATCATTGACCAACTCCTTTTTGATGACCTTCATGGCGTAGATACGTCTGCTCCTCTTGTGTTCCACCTGAAGCACTTTGGCGTAGCTGCCCCGACCAATCACACGCAGCAGCTGGAACTCATCCATCGTCATTTGCTTGCCATCGTCGCCAGGCGATGTCTATAACACGCAATAGAATAAACTATGATATATCATGGTGTTATGATTGGGGACGCCATGCATGAGTTCACTCATTGTGCCAAGTTGGGAATCAAACTCAGGTCGGTGGCTCGACAAGCCAACACTGTTACCTCGAGAATTTGGGATTCAGTAAGGTTGTGAGTTGCCAGAAGAGACACAGAGCCTCTGATAAACGATGGGCCAACTATTTGCATGAAATTTATAGATGCCTGGATGTCTAATGGAAGAATATGGCTTCTGATTTCATAGCCAGAACTGACATAACATAGAAGTCTTATTTCATAGAACATGTTACACACTACATGGTTCTGTGCAAAACATCATTAATTTATGTTACTGTTTCAAATAATGGGATACCAACTACATGAAATATGACATACAATTTTAGAAATACTTACATCAACTTGCACAGTCTGTAAATAAAAGGAATGTGGCATTTAATAATGGCAGTAACATATACATATGAACATTAACTTTGTATTTGTAGAAAAAAAAAGTACCTTTTCTTCAGATAATCTATCTTCTGTAATATAAATATCATCTTGGATGATCAAGGAGTACAAACAGAGAATATGAAAATTATCCCAGGGTTTCGAATGTTGAGGCTCAGAGGAACCATTTTCCAAGAAAAGCCTCAACTGTTTCTTGACAATTGTCATGGAAACCGTGGGAACTATTTCCACAAACACTTTTCCTTCTATACTTGAAAAACAAATTGAGAATTTCAGGAACACTTTATCAAATTTCTAAACTAACAATGATATATTCTAGAAATCAATAAACAATTTTTGTCCTTAAATTACATGAAGCATTGTTTAGCCACCAGAATAAAGCATATACATCCTTAACCAGCTTCATACACAATATGGCAATATTTAAAAGTATTTCCTCTAAAAGATGACAACCCCCCACCCCTTCCATCCATGTGTATTTTTTAAAACATAATAATGGTATTTATTGAGAACCCTGGCTCTATTATTTCATGACATTCCTCGTGATAAATAAATGGGTATTATTCATTTACTGTTTCATTTGAGATGATGTGTACAACCTAGCATCTGTGAGACCCGATGTCTATTAGCGATCCCAACTTTCTTCCAATTTGGTTCTGAACCTGCATGAATTATACAGCCCTCATGTCAAGTGGAGGTACATCATCTATCAGAGGAAATACAGTACATCACAGGATATTAGTCATGATTCATCACTTTTTCAAGGCTACATTTGATATAGATTGGAAAATGGGTTCAATGATGGCAGCAAATATGAATGATCAGAAAAACAATGAGTTACAAGGGTAGCACAGAATTAAAAATGCACAACAAAATAAAATGATATTTAAGGGTATAAGTTCACTATTTATCAACAAAAAGGAATATGAAGAATTCCATTGAAAAGGGGAGATAAGCAGTGATGTAATCCACAGGTGAAATGGTTGACAATATTGAGAAACAGCAGTGCATGCAGATGTAGGACCAGTCATTTATCATAGGAATCTACTTAAATAGATGCCTTTTTTTCCCCGCTCCCCATCCCACCCCTTACTCCCTCCAGTTGTCTTCCCGAACCCAACAACCCTATCTATTCCTCTGCTCTTCTCTGCCCAACACGATCAGGCTTCTCTCTGCCATTCCCAATCCATTGATTCTGTGCCCACCAGATTCTGTTACCATCCCTAATTCTCTCCCAACCCCAAACTCCACCCCCTTCCAACCATTAATTCTCTGCCTGAACCCTCAGTTCATGCCCATAACCTCTGTATGTACCAATTCCCACTCTCTCGGTCTCATTCCATCCCATATTTCTACTCACATCCTCGATCCTCCCTGCCCCATCCAATTCCCACTCTCTCCGTCTCATCCCATCCCATATTTCTACTCACATCCCCGATCCTCCCTGCCCCATCCAATTCCCACTCTCTCCGTCTCATCCCATCCCATATTTCTACTCACATCCTCGATCCTCCCTGCCCCATCCAATTCCCACTCTCTCCGTCTCATCCCATCCCATATTTCTACTCACATCCTCGATCCTCCCTGCCCCATCCAATTCCCACTCTCTCCATCTCATCCCATCCCATCCCATATTTCTACTCACATCCTCGATCCTCCCTGCCCCATCCAATTCCCACTCTCTCCGTCTCATCCCATCCCATATTTCTACTCACATCCCCGATCCTCCCTGCCCCGTCAATTCCCACTCTCTCTGTCTCATCCCATCCCATATTTCTACTCACATCCTCGATCCTCCCTGCCCCATCCAATTCCCACTCTCTCCGTCTCATCCCATCCCATATTTCTACTCACATCCTCGATCCTCCCTGCCCCATCCAATTCCCACTCTCTCCGTCTCATCCCATCCCATATTTCTACTCACATCCTCGATCCTCCCTGCCCCATCCAATTTCCACTCTCTCCGTCTCATCCCATCCCATATTTCTACTCACATCCTCGATCCTCCCTGCCCCATCCAATTCCCACTCTCTCCGTCTCATCCCATCCCATATTTCTACTCACATCCTCGATCCTCCCTGCCCCACCCAATTCCCACTCTCTCTGTCTCATCCCATCCCATATTTCTACTCACATCCTCGATCCTCCCTGCCCCACCCAATTCCCACTCTGTCCGTCTCATCCCATCCCATATTTCTACTCACATCCTCGATCCTCCCTGCCCCAACCAATTCCCACTCACTCCGTCTCATCCCATCCCATATTCCTACTCACATCCTCGATCCTCCCTGCCCCACCCAATTCCCACTCTCTCCGTCTCATCCCATCCCATATTTCTACTCACATCCCCGATCCTCCCTGCCCCATCCAATTCCCACTCTCTCCGTCTTATCCCATCCCATAATTCTACTCACATCCTCGATCCTCCCTGCCCCACCCACTTCCCACACCTCTCCGTCTCATCCCATCCCATAATTCTACTCACATCCTCGATCCTCCCTGCCCCACCCAATTCCCACTCTCTCCGTCTCATCCAATCCCATATTTCTACTCACATCCCCTGATCCTCTCTGCCCACCCACTTCCCACTCTCTCCGTCTCATCCCATCCCATATTTCTACTCACATGCTCACATCCCCGATCCTCCCTGCCCCACCCAATCCCCACCCATCATCCCACGACCCCACTCTGGTCCTGACTGCTCCGACCCAGCCTATGATAAATGCCAGGTCCCTGGGTGGCCATGACAACACACGGTGAGTATTCTGTACCCTAGTGATGGAGGGCTGTCGCAGGCTGCAGCCCTGTGACAACACCATTATTTGCCCAAAACCACATACCATAATCCATGAACAGCATGGGTATCTGACGAATTACTGAGGAACTAAATCACCTAAATACATCAACTGTATTCTTATTGAACAATGACTGTTAACTACAACATATTTGTACAAAATACCACATAGTCCCAAACATTGTCAGCTTTTAATTTTGGTAATTGATTTCAATGTTCACTTAATGAGTAAAACGCTGATTTGAATAATATTACACTCATATCACAGCTTGATAAGGGAGGAGTGAGTGAGTGAGTGAGTTGGGTTTAACGCCGCTTTTAACATTATTCCAGTTATATCGCGGCGTGTCAGCTTTATGTGGGAGGGAAGCCCGAAGTGATGCAGGTCTCAGACATTTACCACTTTCAGTGAAACCCACAAGCACGGGTATGTTGCTGACAAACCTAGAAACAAAATCGGGGTGAACCCACAATTATAGGTTTCTGGCGTGTCCAGGGGACTGCACAGCGAATCGCGGCGCCTTAGACGACTGGGCCACCTGTGCCCCTGATAAGGGAGGAAAGTGACACAGGTCTTCCAGGTTTACAACTTTCGTAAAACCCACAAGGGCTTATATTGTGCTGACAAACCAATATCATAATCAGGTAAAAGGTGGGGTCAGATCATAAATGCCAGAAGTACACAACTTTTCCGAGGGAACTACAGCATCTAATACCCCGTTCAGATGCACAACATTTAATCACGTAAGTAATTTTATACATGTGTAACTATACATACGTGTGGATATGTAAATTTACTATGCGTTCACATGAAAAGCATCTTAGGTGTGTAAATAAATGTTAATTATGTAAGGGACACATATTCGCCAGTCTGTTCACAACTTTCAACACAAAACAGGTTGTTTTACAATCAAAGTTTAAAGAAAGAGAGTTACTTCACCAAACATTTTGCGTGGAGCAACATGTATTTGACTTAATTTGTACACAAAGTTTTAACGCCTTGAAACCAAAAGAAAACACCGTCCGCTCAACTCATATATATATACACATAAAAGTTGACAACTGTTGACGATTTGTAACAGATATTAATTAGATCATCCTCTTATGTTGACACAAACATTCACATTGGCACACACAGTGCAAATTTACATTTACATTTGCACCTGCTCCAGACATGATGCAAATTTGTTCCTGGTGTAAATACACACGAGTAAACGTGTTCACATAACAAGTATACTCACATATGTATTTCTACACACGTATGCACATAATTCTTGTGAATACCCTACCTCTATTACATCATTGCCATAAATTCCTGTTTATGCTGAGAACCACAGGAAAGAAGTGAGTAAGTGAGTTCCTGATGTAATAGAGGTAGTTTTCATAGAATTATTCACAATGATAACTATTGTTTGATATACACACATGTATAGAGGCGCATGTGAACGGGGTATTAAGAGGGCTGGGCCAACTGTGCTGCACAATCACATGTTTGCTGTACATGCTGGAAAGTGTATTAAAAAACTAAATATTCTTAACCCTCCAACACCAAATATGTACAGAAAATATAGGACACTTTCTTAAAAAATAAGGCATGTGAAGATATTCCATTCCAATATCCTTAATAAAAAATTTCATCAGCCTCCACAAATGAAAACGAAAAATCACATATATATATAACTAAAATGCTGTGAATGCTATTCCATTGAGCTCAGTGCTGTCAACATGAAATGAAAAAGCAAATAAATAAAGTGAAAAGCTTGCACACAAATGGAATTTACTGTGTATTGACAAGGGAGATAACTCTCTACCTCTGTAAAAGCAGGTGCTTCTTCCTCCTCCTTCAGGAAAGTACAACAGAGAATACAATGTGTAGATAGTTGAGTGGGAAATAGTACATTGACCATAACCAATGTGTTAAAGGGGGACTCATCCTTGAAGTTAAAATATCCAATAACGAGACAGGGATTGGCCATGAGTTGGTTCTTAAAATGTAACTCCTCTATCACAGGAATCGTTAACTGGTTATCTGCCTTTCCAGACTGTGGAGTCCCCCTTTAAGTTTGTCAAAACATTTAGAAAAGATGTTAAATGTTTGTGTCACAGAGTCAGAGTGATGGAAATGATATATAACAACACCTATAGGAGGGAATTCATGAATTCATGAAAGCTGTTTCAAGTCTGGAATATGTCATAAAACGTTTCACATCCTTTAAGGCATTAAGGATATTGTACATCGTACGTCCCGATCCTCACAAACCACATGCTTGATAACCACATGCATCATATCTTCCTAGATACTAGTTATATCCTCCCCCGACACTACCACAGTTTGTGAAGTGAGTGAGTGAGTGAGTTGGGTTTAACGCCGCTTTTAACAGTATTCCAGTTATATCATGGCGTGTCAGCTTTATGTGGGAGGAAAGCCCGAAGTGACGCAGGTATCAGACGTTTACCACTTCGGTGAAACCCACGAGCACGGGTATGGTGCTGACAAACCTAGAAACATAATCGGGGCGAACCGGGATTCGAACCCACGATCATAGGTTTCTGGTGTGTCCAAGGGCGGCAACTCTGCACAGCAAATCGCGGCGCTTTAGACGACTGGGCCACCCGTGCCCCTAGTTTGTGAAGTGACCCCACCACCTGTCTCTTCTATTAATGTCTTCCCACAGAATTCGTCTTGCACATAAGTGTAATCTGATTGGACATCTATTTCACTGTGTGATCTCAAAGAAGATCTCAAAGAAGCGATGGTTGTTAATGGGTCCAGGGTATTTATTCAAACAGAATGGAAACATAATGCACTTTATAATTGTGAATATCTCTTGGGAGTCTCTTGTTGTACATACCTCCTTGCCTGGCTCGTAGGAAACAGTGTTAGAGGCTGCTCCTGAAACTGAGTGAGTGAGTGAGTGAGTTTAACTGTGCTTTGAATGCAATTAGGAGGAAAGAATGTGAGAGTCAGAGTCACTTTGGTGAGAACCAACAGGTATCACATAAGATTTGTTTGTTTGTTTGTTTGTTTTATTTGTTGTTTAACGCTGCACACAGCATTATTCCAGCAATATAATGGCAGTCTGAAAATAATCAAGTCTGGACGAGACAATCCAGTGATTGACATCATGAGCATCGATCCACGCAGTTGGGATATAATGACATGCAATCAACCAAGTCACTGTGCCTGACAGCTCAATCTATTAATGATAAACTTTCCTCTGATGACCAGCACAGTTACAGGGGACAGTATCGTCACCCTTCCCCTGGGTTAAAAAGACAAGGAAGTACACTAACCTGAGACATTGTTCTGATGGGAGTTGCCGTTCTCCTCGATGCTGCCACCGCCCCCTCCGCTGATGCTCTTGTCGCTGTCGTATGCCGGGCCCTGCAAGGGCTCCTGTTAATACAGACATTGATCACATGTGTTAGGCAGTACATTGTATTTGGTCTATATTTCTCAGCTTCATTGATTCCTATCAGCCATAGATTGATAAGACCCTTCCAGCAGCCATCCTCAAATCAAATCTCCAAATCTTCATTTGATGAGTTTATTATTAGTTGACAACTATTTTCAGTCATGAAGTCATTTCAAGTGCATAGCATTTCACAAGGAGAAATAATGAAACTAGGAGGTATGCACTTGCACAGGTGAGGTGAGGTGAAATTGGGTTTAACATCACGTCCAAGTGAATGAGTGAGTGAATGAGTTTGGTTTTACGCCTTCTAGCAATATTCCAGCAACATCACGGTGGGGGATACCAGAAATGGGCTTCACCCATTGTGCCCATGTCGGGATTTGAACCCGGGTCTTTGGCTTGACGGGTGAACGCTTTAACCACTAGGCTACCCGACCGCCCCTTTCATCGCGTCCAAGATTATTGCGTTTATATAGCCACGTGCATGTGTGTGTGTGTGTGTGTGTGTGTGTGTGGCTGCTTGTACTAGTCCGGATGCCAATTTATAGTGTTAGCACACTGAAATATCAGGCCGCAGTTTAACATGGATACCCCACTCAGACACAGTATACTGACTCCGAGCCGACCAGTCCTTGTTTTAGCCCTTAATGCCAAGCGCCAGACAGGGTAACAAGAAGTACCATCTTTTAACGTCTTTTGGTACGACACGGCCGGGGATCGAACCCAGGACCTTCCGCTCTCCTGGCGGATGCTCTACCACTAGGCCACGGAGGCGGTCTGCACTTGCACAGAGGTTATATGTTTCCATGCTAGGGTAGACTTGGTGATAGGGTGGAAAGAAAAAAAAAAAAAATTCTTCTTGTGATTTCTTGCAAGAAGGAGAAATATGGCAATCACATACCACAGAGAATGTGAATGTCATAATTTGATCAGTTTATGATTAGTGGATAAGTTTTCTCAGTTACCAAGAAGTGCATGTCACATACTGTAGTATACAGAAATTGAAGAAACGGCAAGATGCATCATTACTGTACCCTATAAAGTGGGTGAGTGAGTGAGTTGTGTTTAACGCCGTTTTTAACAGTTTTCCAGTCATATCACGGCGTGTCAGCTTAATGTGGGAGGAAAGCCCGAAGTGATGCAGGTCTCAACATGTTTACCACTTCAGTGAAACCCACGAGCACGGGTTTGGTGCTGACAAACCTAGATACATAATCGGGGCGAACCGGGATTCGAACCCACAAACATAGGTTTCTGGCATGGCCCAAGGGACGCAACTCTGCACAGCGAATCATGGCAACCTAGACGACTGGGCCACTCGTAACCCCCCGTACCTAAAGAGTCATCTCATCTTATTATAGTCAGTTCTAAAATGTTTTTACTTACCACCGGGCCACCACACGCTTTCTTCACGAGCTTGTGGCAGCGTTTATGCACAAGGAGTTTACACTGGATACACTTGAAGCCCTGACGACCCAGGCCCCAGATCCGGTCTGTACAGAACGAGCAGAACGCCTTCTGTAAACAATAAACACAAACTGAACAATCTCCATCTACATCGTCATAAAAAGAATCAAATTTTATTTGACACTTATAGTTTTGCTGCCATCATGTCACACATGACATTCATAGCATTGGTGTATATTCCAGCCCTAAGATGGCGGTCTGTAAATAATCGAGTCTGGACCAGACAATCCAGTGATTAATATCATGAGCATCGATCCACCCAATTGGGATCGATGACATGCATCAACCAAGTCAGCGAGCTTGACCACCCAATCCTGTTAGTCTCTTTTTACGACAAGCATAGGCGCCTTTTACGGCAAGCATGGGTTTCCGAAGGCCTTTTCTACCCCGGATCTTCACGGGTCATCATGGATTTGAACTAGGCCAAGGATGAGTCGAAAACTACTACCCGGGTACCTGAATCCCGACCCTGCCCGGGTACCAGAAACCCTATTACCTGACCCTGCCCGGGTACCAGAAAAAAAAATTACCTGACCCTACCCGGATACCTGCTGTAGGTCCTGAGAGTTGCTTCCAAAATGTCAGATTGGGAATTGTTTAACCAGAGCCATGGCAAAACGTCTTTAGATACACATATACAACAATTTGATCATGAATTTACGGAAACTGACTGAAGCTTTGTTTTTCCTCAACCATGTAAGAGCCAGAAGGAATGTGTGCATAGTCAGGAAGAAATGCGAACATTAACGACTTGTAGTCTATTGTTATTGTCATTCAACAATATATCATGGGCTAACCACAGGTCTGGGTAGTCCTGTGTCCAATATAATTCATTGGAAAGATAATATCTTACCCTGGAAAAGCGTTTGGGCTGGAAGAGGTGGCCGTTAACTCTATATAATTTCCTCCATCGCCGAGCTCCGCGTCGGTACATGTTCCCTGGCAACAAAATCACAAATACTGGTGAGTGAGTGAGGCAGGCCTGACGTTTACCACTTGGATAAATCTGAGAGCATGGGTATGGTGCTGATAAACCAAGAAACATAATCTGGGCGAATCTGGGATTCAAACCCACGATCAGAGAATTGAGGCACCTAAAAAGTTAAGGCAACTGTGTCCCGACACACACATTTACAGAAGCTGGTCTGTATCTCAGCGTATTCAAACCTACAGGAGATTTCCTTTTATTTGTTTGTTTGTTTGTTGCTTAACGCCGCACTCAGCAATATTCCAGCTATATGATGGCGGTCTGTAAAATAATCAAGTCTGGACCAGACAATCCAGTGATTGACATCATGAGCACGATCCATGCAATTGGGATCGATGACATGTATCAACCAAGTCAGCGAGCCTGACCACCCGATCCCATTAGTCGCCTTTTACGACAAGCATAGTTGCCTTTTACGGCAAGTATGGGTTGCTGAAGACCTATTCCACCCCGGAATCTTCACGGGTCAGATTTAAAATTAGGACAAAAGAAAGAGAAAAAGGGGAAATAATTCAGGCACCAGATCTATAAAATATTTGAAAGAGTTGAACATGAATAAATAGGTATTCTGGGAGTTTGTTCGGAGAGACTAAGGCTGGGATTATTCACATGGAGATTCAGCTCCATAGACCCTGTTTTCCAAGGGCAATGTTAATCTCCCAGATGGGCAGGCAGTTGGACTGACAAATGATGGATAAAAATGATGTCATGAGCATCACTTTAACTTTGGTTAAAGGGCAAGTTCACACGGAAAGAACCTATTTTTCTTGTACTTTTTCCACATTAAAAGTGTTAACCTAGTAGTTTCATAGACAAAAATATAATAATATATTAATTAACATATGTTTTGCATTAAAACGATTTATATTTTTCACATTTACCAAGTGTTCTATTTTCATAACAAAAACACCATGGCTTATGCCCTTGCAATATGACGTCATTGGTGCCAATTGATAAACATTATGACGTCATCATGCTATGTTAGAGCCGCTTCACGTGGTGTAGGTCCAGGTGTGTGATTCTAGCGTCTCAGATGCCAGCCAGCATAGTGTTATGCTGAGTTACCACTGCGCCGGAGTGTGTCGTAGGCCATGTTGTTTTACCGAAAACTGGTACTTGATATCTTTTGCGTTGAGAATAGACAGGGATCCAGTTGAATTGGCACCAATTACGTCATAATCTAAGGGGGATAACTCAGGCCTGTTTAGCTCGAAAAACGAAGGCCTCATAACGGCATATCATTTTCACACTATTGTGAGCTTCCTACTTTCACTGTGAAAAAAATGAGTTTACATTTTCAAACACAGATATTAACTTATTCTAAAATTGCGTTTTGTTTAGAAAAAGAAAGAAAGTGATTTTTGCGTGTACACTTCCCCTTTAAGGTGAGCCAGAAAGGTTTGCTTAAGGCTGTCAACTCAAAACAACTGGTTCATCCACAAGACTTTAGGAAACTGACTACTCCGCGACATGTTTCTATGAGGAAATATGTAAAATAAAATCCATACCGACAAATTTCAAAAAAGAATAATCTAAAAAAGACCTACTATATTCAGCAAGTGAGACGACGGATGTGAACATGCAAAACAGAACTGGATTCCCAGAAGAATTAACAGCAATAGTTCTGTCAGTGTCCTCACAATCACATCTTACACACCAAAAAGCGAAATACTGACTATCATCATGATCATGTAATGCCTGCTATCATGGCTATGGATCTATTTCCTTCTATTAGTTTCCAACACTCAGATGATCTACAATCATGTCTCTAAATATACACTCATTGTGATGATATACACCAGGATTCTTTTCATAACTCTATGTCCTAATTAATTGTTCAAAATCCAATGACTCAACTGCATAATTTGAAATGAAAATAACGCTTTATCTAACTAATTTCAGTGATGAAAGGGGTCAGTCACCATGGTCAATGTTGAAGGAGACTTCCCCCCAAAAATAAAATACTTTAGTCTAAAAAAAATATAATAGTCTTGGTTCTCAGGCATCATCCACATCATCATAAAGTCTGCCGCATGTTTTGTTTTTATTTCCATTTTCAAAAATGCACAATGCACACAAAAAAATTGAAAATGGAAACAAAAATGACACGTGCAATGAACTTTATGATGATGTGGGCAGTGCCTGAGAACCAAAACTGTTATATTTGAGCCTTATTTCACACAAAAGAATACCTTATAGAGATCATTTAAAAAATACAGGTTTTAAAATTGTCCATTTCAAATCTGTGAGACGTTTTCAACTTTTTTCAAACAAGTAACAGAATAGAAGGCCTAGCTTAAGCTGTGATGTATACGACTCAAAAGAAGTCTAATTACTCCAATTCTTTTCATATTAACGACAGTCATATGAAAAAATCATGTGTTCTTTAATTTCCTTTGAGATGTATATTTAACAGCCTTATGTTTAAGCTTGACTGAGCTGATTCCTTATCAGCTGTTAAAACACATGACATCTTTCATTGGACGAGGGCTTAGAGCAGACTCAGGAAACAGAGAACAATGGCCATAACTTACGGTCTTCCCCAGCACAGGGCATTCCCGGCCTCTCCGGAACATTGGGGAATACTGAAACACAGCATAAAAAAAAAATATGTAACATGTTGTATTGAGAAAGGATAACATATATGGATGAACAACTTCCTTATTACAATTTGGAGCGATGTTTCGGTGCAGGTTCTAACACCGTTATCAAGCATGTGATAACTTTGCTTATATCATAACGAATCATCGCTCCTACTTGTAATGAAGAAGTTGTTCATCCATATTTCTTTTCCTTACTTAGTACTCCAAGTACTAAATGAATCTCAAAGATGTTAAAATGTTGCATTGAATTAGTGAGTGAGAATGAGTAATTACTAAATTCTGTTGCCATTAATCACAGTCATTGTTGAGGAAGAACTTATTCCTTATAATGGATAAACTGGGATCTAAACATGGTACATTTTCTACAACTTCCAATTTTTTTATTTTCCCGAAAGTAATTTTTCATATCATTTCAGTTTGACATGCATTGTAATGATGCCTTGCATTTGTTAGCCACAAATACAATAAAAGCAGGACTCGATTTAAGGAACTTGATTTGACTTGCACCAGGTGCATTGTTGACAGGGTTAGACACAGCACAAATTTGAAATGGTTTGACATGCACTTGGTGCATTTAGACATAGATATTAGGTTTCATATTTCAGTAATAGGTTGCACAAGTGCATGTTATTTACAGCTAAATCAAGCCCTGAAAAGATAAATAAATATTGATGAAATGAGAGAAAATTAAAAATAGTTCAGTTTCTCATCTATTCTAAAATAAGTGATAAAAAAACAACAACATTATTATGAATATTTTCTCATTCTTCCCCAACATGAGCATGAGTGTGTATTTTGTTTGTTATTTAACTCTGCACTCAACAATATTTCAACTATATGATGGCAGCCAGTAATCGAGTTATTGATATTAATAACAATGATCCACACCGTCAAGGTACGATGACGTGCACTCAACCAAATCGCTAGCCTGATACCCGATCCATTTAGTTGCCTCTTACGACCAGCATGGGTTGCTGAGGATTTCCTAACACCAAATCACCACGATCAGCATAGGTTGTCCGAATCCCCAGCAACGTCACTTCTTACGACCATCATTGGTTGCTGGGGACCTATTCCAACCTGGAATCCCCACAACCAGCATTTCAAAACAAAGTATAATGACCTTACCATGGAGAGTGATCTCCGAGTCCTTGTTCAGGTCATACAGTCTGATGGCCTCGGTCAACTCGATCTGCGAGGATATTGTGCAAGGGTCCCCTGAAACACAGCGCTGGAGTCAGCCACACATGTTTGTAAATTTATCACAGGTATTGCTATCTAATGTCAAAGGAAAACTGCATTCAGTTCTGTCCATACATAACCTGGTTCCATATTTTCTGCCATCGTGGAAGTACATTTCTACCTTTTTATGCTATATATTTTATGGAAACAGTCTCTCATAATTGTGTGTTTTTTAATGCAGTTAAGGTTTACAGTCGGCAAGCACTTGATAACTTCATGTTTCCCAAATTTGCCATTTTCCCAAGGTCACAGACCCTGCTGATAACTGACTTGTCAGAGAGAAAGAATTTGCTCAACTGACTCCAAGTTTTTGAGGATATACCTCCATATTCAATCAATACAAGGCTGACAGACAAACCAGTTATAGATATTATGAACAACAATCCACATCACCACATAATCATACAAGGCAAAGAGTCTGGTGAGAACGACCTTGAAGTTGTGTTGTATGACCACCATGTTACCATGGTTACTGGAGACCTGTTCTAACCCGACTCAAGGGGAGTAACAACAGATACTCAGTGGAGGAATCCCAGCATAGAAAAGTGCCTGCTCATTACACTGAAGACCAGTCATCAGTTTTCTTCTGAGGATGCATCTTAGTTGAAAATGTCATGAGTCATCAGTTTTCTTCTGAGGATGCATCTTAGTTGAAAATGTCATGAGTCATCAGTTTTATTTCCAGGATGCATCAAAGTTAAAAATGCCATGAGTCATCAGTTTTATTTCCAGGATGCATCTTAGTTGAAATGCCATGAGTCATCAGTTTTATTTCCAGGATGCATCTTAGTTGAAAATGCAATGAGTCATCAGTTTTATTTCCAGGATGCATCTTAGTTGAAATGCCATGAGTCATCAGTTTTATTTCCAGGATGCATCTTAGTTGAAAATACCATGAGTCATCAGTTTAATTTTGGCCCAACTATAATGTACGGTTGTCCACTGAAAGAATTTGGGATGACTTGCTGAATGTTCTTATATGCTGCAGACAGTGAGTGAGTGAGTTGGGTCTAATGCCGCTTTTAACAGTATTCCAGTTATATCGCGGCATGTCAGCTTAATGTGGGAGGAAAGCCCGAACTGATGCAGGTCTCAGACGTTTACCACTTCGGTGAAACCCATGAGCATGGGTATGGTGCTGACAAACCTAGAAACATAATCGAGGCGAACCAGGATTCGAACCCACAATCATAGGTTTGGCGTGTCCAAGGGATGCAACTCTGCACAGTGAATCATGGCGCTTTAGACGACTGGGCCACCCGTGCCCCCTGCTGCAGACAGAACTATTCTAGTTCTCTAATGTGGCCTATAAATAATCTCTGTCCAGGAAACCAGAGGTTGAAGCATGACCAATAATACACTTGGAATGGCATCGTCAACATTGTAAAATACAAAGGCTATCAGTTTTTTTCTGAAGCACTCTCCCTACATGAACTCTCAGAAGGATGCTATGACATCACTGTGGAAAGTGATGACATCATGAGACAACTGATGACATCACATGCTTCTGTGATAACTGAACTCGTCTGGTAAGCAGAGTGTAGAAAAATCAACTAACCTAAAGTTGTTCTGGTAAATATTGATCAAACCTGATACTTAACTAATGTGGTATACATTTCGAAAAGCCAAATAACATGTTTTCCAAATTTTCCAAGATTGAAAAAGAAAAAGATACTTATCATTCATACAGAGTGAAAAGTCTGGAAGATTTCTAGGATCAAATCCCATTTAAATACACATTTATAACCAATTATATTACAGCATACACACCAATCCATATCACAATGACAATCAGAAAGGTAACACACTGTAACCACTTCTTGTGATTTTGGTTAATTTTAAGACAGGCATGAGGTACTGGAGACACCTTCCGCTTCGGAATCCACACTGGGGCAACAAGTTACAGGTAGCAAGATACTATTACTTGCACACCTCATCATGGACAGTTGACAGTGAAGAGGACTCCTGTTGAAAATCTGAAGATTTTTATGGTGTGATGATCGCCAATATACAGGATTTATGGCAATGACATAAGGCAATCTCATTAATATCTGATCACAGTTCTCGCTACCGCTAAACAAAGATCTGAGGACGTCCCATTAGGGGTCATGTCAGATCGACCTTGCACAAACTTTGACCGACCAATGGAATGACCGAGAAGAAGTCAACATTAGCCAATCAAAAGGCAGCTTTCTCGTGCTTTATGGCACTAATTTCAAATTGGTGACTACGCTTTGAAACATATTTTGACAAATTCTCGATAATAATTTGAAACCTGAACAAAAGAACATTCTGGAAGGGCTAATAGATGGTCTAGATTGTATGGATTCAGTCGTTAAGTCCGTAACTATCGTTTGGAATACCCCGTGTTGAAGTTTTCAAGGTTGCACGATTAGAAATCACATTTTTTCCGCCCGCCCGCTCTCTTGCTGGCTGAGGGTGGAAATGAGAAACACACGAAAAAAATGGATGGCTTAATAGACGCAAGGTATTCGCAAGAATCATTAGCTTCCAAGGGGGCACGGGTGGCCCAGTCGTCTAAGGCGCCGCGATTCGCTGTGCAGAGTTACGTCCCCTGGACACGCCAGAAACCTATGGTTGTGGGTTCGAATCCCGGTTCACCCAGACTATGTTTCTAGGTTTGTCAGCACCATACCCGTGCTCGTGGGTTTCACCGAAGTGGTAAACATCTAAGACCTGCATCACTTCGGGCTTTCCTCCCACATTAAGCTGACACGCCGTGATATAACTGGAATAATGTTAAAAGCGGCGTTAAACCCAACTCACTCACTCATTAGCTTCCTTATTGTGAATGGATATCTTATTCTTTTGGTTAACTTGTTTTACCATGAGTATCATAGCAACTGCATCTGCAACCTGGGACATTAATAACTCGCTGACTGCAAAACAAGATTTCGAACACAGTCTCTCTTTCATCCAAGTGGTCTTATGATAACACATCATTAAGTCTCCAGTATCTACACCAGTGGAGCAGACCTATTTATCATGCAGTATGATTTAGAAAAACCTCTTCCTGGGGAATGTATGTTTACATCTGGTCTGGCCTTAAATACAGGAAAAGAGGAAAAAGGCACTTGCTTATCACACAAAAGAAAATGGTTGAACATCAACCTGCACAGCTGAATCAAGGATTTTGAAAACAGACAACACAACAGCTATATTTTTTCAAATCTTTTCTTTGTAACTTATTTCTTCACAAACATCAATTTCAAGATTATTTCTTAGAAATTTAGCAAAATTCAACCCTGACACTATGTTTTATTTATTTTCTATTTCTGCCGCCTGTTTCTTGCGGAGTTATTTGAGTGAGTGAGGGATTATGGTTCAACATCCTTTTTTTCACAATATTTCCATCCAACCATGGCTTGTCAGTTTGATATGAGAGGAAAGCCTGAAGTGATGCAGGTCTTAGATGTTTACTAATTTAATGAAAACCAAGAAAGCTGGTATTGTGCAGACAAACTTGAATATATAATCAGGGCAAACAAGCATTCAAGATCATGGTCATAGGTTCCTGCCATGAATAAGGGAAGCACCTCTGCACAGTGAATGTTGACTAGCAAAAGAAACAAGAAATTTATTTGTTCCTATCTTAAATACAAGAAGAAAATTAATTGTTTGGGCCTAAATTACAAGAAAATTATTTGTTCTAGCCTTAGATACAAGATAAGAGGAAAATAAGGTTGCACATGGTTATAACACAACAGGAAAGCATTAAATGTCGTCCTGCCTGGCTGAACAAGGACTTCCCTAATAATCTTCCCCTGGCAACCAATGTTTATCAGCCGACATCAAAAATATATACTTTACCATAACAGCTTTGTTTTTCAGTTTGAAATCAATTTTGATAATCATCTGTATTGAAAGTAACATCATATGAATAAATCCCATCTTAATAGTGTCATGCTTACCTCCATATGATAATAATAATCGTCTCATACACATCAGCTGGAGTAAGGGGATTGTTTATCTTATCTTGCTTATTCAAATCTTGTGTTAATCTCAGTTATAGTGTCACAATATTATGTCTTCCCATCATGCAATCATGAAACAAACAAGACATATTCATCATGTTCATAATCAATGCCGACAAAACAAACACCAAGCCTTCATCAGCATGAGACGAGGACAGACAATACCCTTCAGACATCTGACCTTAGGCAGGCTTTTAATGTTGACAAGATTTCTCAACAACTTTCTCCTTTTATGAAATGGTGTCCAAGACATGAAATACCGGTACCTACCTGTCATATGTTTTGTCTATATCGAACCTATGACAGACATAATCATTTCTTTTTCTTAAGCAAAGGTTACATTGAGTAGAAGATCGAATTGTGAACAAGCTGGGCATTTTGTGTTTTAGTCATGACCTTCAGATAGTTCACTTGACCTTCATATAGTTCACTAGCCCTTCATATGGTTCACTAGTCCTTCATATGGTTCACTAGTCCTTCATATGGTTCACTAGTCCTTCATATGGTTCACTAGTCCTTCATATAGTTCACGAGCCCTTCATATGGTTCACTAGCCCTTCATATGGTTCACTAGTCCTTCATATAGTTCATGAGCCCTTCATATAGTTCACTAGTCCTTCATATGGTTCACTAGTCCTTCATATGGTTCACTAGCCCTTCATATGGTTCACTAGCCCTTCATATAGTTCACGAGCCCTTCATATAGTTCACTAGTCCTTCATATAGTTCACTAGCCCTTCATATAGTTTACTTGCCCTTCATATGGTTCACTAGTCCTTCATATAGTTCACTAGTCCTTCATATGGTTAACTAGTCCTTCATATGGTTCACTGGTCCTTCATATAGTTCACGAGCCCTTCATATGGTTCACTAGCCCTTCATATGGTTCACTAGTCCTTCATATAGTTCACGAGCCCTTCATATAGTTCACTAGCCCTTCATATAGTTCACTAGTCCTTCATATAGTTCACTAGTCCTTCATATAGTTCACTAGTCCTTCATATAGTTCACTAGCCCTTCATATCGTTTACTAGCCCTTCATATAGTTCACTAGCCCTTCATATGGTTCACTAGTCCTTCATATGGTTCACTAGCCCTTCATATGGTTCACTAGTCCTTCATTTAGTTCACTAGTCCTTCACATAGTTCACTAGCCCTTCATATGGTTCACTAGTCCTTCATATGGTTCACTAATCCTTCATATGGTTCACTAGTCCTTCATATAGTTCACTAGCCCTTCATCAGTGTCCAACCCAGACCGCGCTATTGCGCGATTCACGCTAAAAAAAATCAAATCGCCCCTCATAAAAAACTCAATGCGCGATCTGTCGCGCACAGTAATTTCTTGCACAGTCACTTACTTTATCAGCTGTTTATCCCTACCTTTAGATTCAATACTCACTAAATCTTTAATCAATTAACGAAGAAAGACAGTTCACAGCAAACATTGTAGACAACTGTCGAAGACCGATCGATAATAACCGGAAGTTTGATTACGAGTTACGTCCCTTGGGTTCCTGAATAAATTATCGACAGGATTTGAATAGGAAACAAAATTTAATTTACTTTAGTAGAAAGCGTATCAAAACTTTGATCAAAATTATGTTGTATTTTGTTGTTTAGTAATCAAAAACCTTTCACAAGATGTTAAAAGACAATAAATATTCTATCTTGAATAGTTCTGAAAATATTTTTGAGCATTTTAGTTTGTTTTAGTTTCGTTTCTGTAATCACACGATATGAATCGCCGACTGTCATTGCAGACGATCTTTTGAATAGTGAAAATGTCGCGCAAAAACAAAAAAAATACAGACTTTTTTAATCAAAAAAGATGTTCTAAAAAAGACAATGATGAAACCACAATCACTGTAATTACTACTGATAGAAAAAATTACAAAGCATTGTTATTCATTTCAGTTCTTTATTCTGAGCTGTTACACTTTTATATGATGATGTTCCAGTACATAATACAAAATAAGACATTTTTGAAGAAAGCAGTTATTCCCCCCTACTTTTTCAAAATCCCCCCTATTTTCTACATGATGGGGGGACAAGTCACCCCTTGATTTTCAATTCTGGGTTGGACACTGCCTTCATATAGTTTACTAGCCCTTCATATAGTTCACCAGACCTTCATTTAGTTCCTTGCCTTTCAGAAGTTTCACGAAACCAAATCTAGATACCAAATAAACCAAAAAACCAGCTACCTCACCACCCTGTCATTGAGACATTCATGCCATATTGCAGGTCTGTCTTCACAATAATTTGGGCAAACACCTTTTAACAGATGGTTCTCAGCAACCTAACAAGCAGGATCTTGCATAATTTAAAAAAAGATTTGCTGAAAGGATGAGTGCTTGCTATACTTGATACATGCATTTCACTTCCTCGCACCGTAGTGTCACTTTCCTATAAGATATGTACAAAGATGTCTATCTTTCCTTCTGTGCAGTGTATCTTTATCTCTCTTCCTCCTATGACAAGAGAGTTGCATATCCCTGAAACTACACATTATAGATGTGGCAACATGTTCTATATTTAGGTTTATGGACCATCTGAATGGAGCCTGAAGCAAACAAATAATTAATTTAAAAAATGTTTTTATCTATTTTGGTTCCTCCTTATCATGCGAATGCTCTATTCCTCTGAATTAGTAAAATTAAAGTGTAAAATTACAAAATGCAAGTGATTAAATGATTATAAGTTTTACAAAATGCCTTCTATAATAAGCCCAGGTACAGATACAGTTTCAAGTTTGTTTTAAACTATTAGAATAACAAACTATCAGCACAAATTCTATAAACTATAAAATTAACCAAGGGTCACCAAGATAATGCAATCTTTGCTTTCCTTAACCACGAAAAAGAAAATCAGTCATGCCTCACCTTCCTCATCCAACCATTTCACAGTGAACGGTTGACCAGCATCGAACTTGCAGATCTCTTTAATTTCCCCACGGAAGTCCTCATAAGTTATTTCATTCTTTATACTGGTGACAAGGATGTCCCTGCAACAAAAGGAGTAATTAGGAAAATAGTTTGTGAGTGAGTAGTGAGAGAGAGAGAGACGGAGAGGGAGTGAGTGTGATAGTGTGTGCGTGTATGAGCAAGGTTCATACAGAAATGAAACACTAAAATTCAAGGTCTTTTAAGGCATTTCAAGGCTTTTTGGCTGGGTAAAAAAAGCCTTAGTCTGTCAATATTTCTTTTTAACCAGCAAACTATATCTTAGTCATGAAACCTGAAAAATCAGTATGAACATCACAAATTCTCCAACAGTATTAATTTTCAAAACAAACAAAAAATATAAAAATTCTGTCAAGAGTTTTAATACTTTTTTACACAAATACAAGACTTTTCAAGCTATTTTGGTGATTTTCAAGACTTTTAAATATTGACACCAAAATTCAAAGCCTTTTGAAGCCTGTACAGACCTTGATGTGTGATTGAGTGATTGAGCAATCAATATATTTAGCTCTAAGCAATATTTTAATATCAATATAATGTCATTCCAAATCATATCCATATGGAGAATTGGACCCATAAATTTGTTGTTTGGCATATAGCTTCTACCACTAGGCTACCCCACCAGCTACTTTCTATTACTCATCAGAATCGTAGGTGTTGTATATGAATCACATTCTTGATAAATGTCATTTTCATAGCCACAGATTTAAAATATCTGGTATTTGACATGGGGACATGCACATCATATTCATTATATATTGAGTTTATAGATATTTGAATCCTCACTGAAACAAGGCCACAATCACCAGTGAAACATTGTTACTCAACAATCCCCAGTCAAAGCTGGGTGCCCAACAATCCTCAGTCAAAGCTGGGTACCCAACAATCCCCAGTCAAACACGGGTGCTCAACAATCCTCAGTCAAAGCTGGGTTCTCAATAATCCCCAGTCAAAAAAACCCAGTCAAACACGGGTGCCCAACAATCCTCAGTCAAAGCTGGGTGCCCAACAATCCTCAGTCAAAGCTGGGTACCCAACAATCCCCAGTCAAACACGGGTACCCAACAATCCCCAGTCAAAGCTGGGTACCCAACAATCCCCAGTCAAACACCGGTGCCCAACAATCCTCAGTCAAACATGGGTGCCCAACAATCCTCAGTCAAAGCTGGATACCAAACAATCCCCAGTCAAACACGGGTGCCCAACAATCCTCAGTCAAAGCTGGGTACCCAACATACCCAGTCAAACACCGGTGCCCAACAATCCCCAGTCAAACATGGGTGCCCAACAATCCTCAGTCAAAGCTGGGTACCCAACAATCCCCAGTCAAACACCGGTGCCCAACAATCCTCAGTCAAAGCTGGGTACCCAACAATCCCCAGTCAAACACGGGTGCTCAACTATCCTCAGTCAAAGCTGGGTTCTCAATAATCCCCAGTCAAAAACCCCAGTCAAACACGGGTGCCCAACAATCCTCAGTCAAAGCTGGGTGCCCAACAATCCCCAGTCAAAGCTGGGTACCAACAATCCTCAGTCAAACACCCCAGTCAAACACGGGTACCCAAACAATCCCCAGTCAAAGCTGGGTACCAACAATCCTCAGTCAAAAAACCCAGTCAAACACGGGTACCCAACAATCCCCAGTCAAAGCTGGGTACCAACAATCCTCAGTCAAAAACCCAAGTCAAACACGGGTACCCAACAATCCTCAGTCAAAGCTGGGTTCTCAACAATTCCCAGTCAAACACAGGTACCCAACAATCCCCAGTCAAACATGGGTGCCCAACAATCCCCAGTCAAAAACCCCAGTCAAACACAGGTACCAAACAATCCCCAGTCAAACATGGGTGCCCAACAATCCCCAGTCAAAAACCCCAGTCAAACACGGGTGCCCAACAATCCCTAGTCAAACATGGGTACCAAACAATCCCCTGTGAAAGAGGGGGGCACAAAAAACCCTTGTTAAAAGATTGGTTCCAAAGATTCCCTGTCAAACATGGGTACAAAAGACTCACAAAGATCAACTAAGGACTTAAAATCCACAGTTATTATTCATATCAGAAATCCTTTTGGACGTCTCACACACACAAGAATAAATGCAGAAAAAATATCTGTAACATTTTTATGAAGAGAAAATGAATAGTTCTGTTTGTATGTTGTTCTTGCAAAGCCATATGAACAGACCCTGTTTTGCTGAAAGGTCACATATCAGTGGAACACTTGTGGCAGATCTGTTCTTTGTCAGATTGAGAACCACAACGGACAGAAGGCAGGTAGGGTTTCATCCAAGACTAGATATTAATTATTTTACAGAAATGAGAGGCATTTGACATTTTCTTCCATCTGTAAAACTTAATTGTTTTTTATTGTTCAAAACACTGACATTGACAAATATATTTTATCTTTCATAAAGATTCATAATAACAAACAACCCCAGCCTCACAGGCTCTGTAGGTCACCTGAAGAGATATATACTGTATAGTGAGTGAGTGAGTGAGTGAGTGAGTGAGTGAGTGAGTGGGTGGGTGGGTCGTTGGGGGGGCAGGTGAGTGAGTGAGTGAGTGAGTGAGTGAGTGAGTGAGTGAGTGAGTGGGTGGGTGGGTGAGTGAGTGAGTGAGTGAGTGAGTGAGTGAGTGAGTGAGTGAGTGAGTGAGTGAGTGAGTGAGTGAGTGAGTGAGTGAGTGAGTGAGTGAGTGAGTGAGTGCGTGCTGCAGTTAGTAAGGGAATGTTGCTTGGGTTTTAGAAGAACTTGAGAATGAACTTGCAATAATTCAGAATTGACTTCAATATTTTTGGGAATTATTGAGGTATAAATGTCAAAGCCAGTGAGCACACAATGTAAATAGGTGTATATGTGTTGATAATAAGAAGTCTCGAAATTCATTAATCTACTGACACTACTGAAAACTGGAGCAATCAATGAATGTTAAACATGTCCTCTGACGCATCAGGGCCCACTTTCACATAGCGTTCTAGCGCTACGACTGTCGTAAGTCTATGTTAAAATATGGGAGTTACGATCATCTTAGCGCTAAGATAGCTTTGTGCAATTGGGTCAAGGTCGAAGATGAGGCAGATGGTGGAGCAGGAACATACCTTCCTGGTCCTTTTATTGTTTTGTTTTTTTGGGCCATTTTGGGGGGCATATCTACCAAGAAAATTCACAAAAACAAGAAAACTAAGCCCTGTCCAAAATGAAACATAACATGAACATCCCATACACTGAATTCAAAGCCTAATGGAAAAGTGCTTCCTTTCGGATGAATTTCCCTGACAACTAACTGTATTATCCATTACAAACACGTCTACAAGGAGTGTAAATGTGAAATCTATAACATGTGTTAAATAAACTGATTATACCCAGGAAATATGAATGCCATCTATCATGCATCAGCTCTGTCGATATCATAATGTCAAACTCCAAGGCTGGCAAATCTGGAATATTAGGCTACAAATATCAACAGCAGAGATTTACTTACGTCTTTTTATTTTCGAGTCTAGAGGAAAAACAGTTATAATTTTGGGAGGTCCAAAGCATGAACATGGGTGTCCGAGGCAAGCGACGTGTGGCACAATTCACTTGTTTGCCATATATGTTACTGATGCTTGTATAAAAGTGCAATAATGTTGAACTTGATGCTAAACCCCATATCACATCATCTCACAATACGCTAGTGCAGTCGTGATTCTGGGTCAGAATATGTAATAAGTAACAACCAACATGGGGATCGGGTAGTCTGGCACTGTGACTTGGATGATTGTATCATACTAGGTTTACGATGGCTCATGCTCTTGGTTTGCCTGCTCTAGGTTGACGATGGTCATGGCTCATGGTGTTGGTTTGCCTGCTCCAGATTCATTTTTTTCCAGGCTGCAGTGTTATAGTTGCATTCTTGCTGACTGTGGCATCAAACATTCACTCACTTATTCTGTTGTAGTTATTCATGAAAAAGGCTAGGAACTTGCAGTACAACAGACAAAGGGTGGATAGTCATGGCCTTTCTCTGCATTGATTTTAGGATAAAAATAATAATTTTTTAATTCTTGTTTCTCAGGCACAGCTCGCATCAACAAAAAGTCTGCTGGATGTTTCACTTTTATTTCCATATAAAAATAAAATAAAAATCCAAAAAATTAAAAACATTGCAATCCAATTTTGCATGCAGTTGCAGTAGAACACGGATATAACGAACTACGAGGGACCAGAGAAATCAGTTTGTTATATCCGTTGTTCGTTATACACATTTTCGCTCGGAAATGTCCGCCATCTTGGATAAGACAAAACACAATACACGTAATTGCAGTGTTACACGTGAAATCTTCATGGCCTAATTTCACTGCAAGTTCGTCAGCTTTGGTCTGCAGTAACAGACCACTTTTTTGCTTCTCACAGCTTGAAACCATTTGTAGAGGGCATCCTCTATGTCTTGGTGATTGGCAGCTCGTAACCTCTTCCGGGCGGGGCCAAAATCAGTCGAAGGATTCAAGAATGGATTCTCTCTTCTTCATAATGGTACTTTATGTTGATTTTGGAATGTCAAATTCCATTGCAATGTCTTTCTTGGTTTTTATGCCAGCATCAACAGCCTTAATAATTCTCAATTTCGTGTCTAAACTGATAGCTTTCCTTTTACTATTGCCCGCCATAGCATATTGAAGTGAACTAACACTTGGACACATTCTCGTAAAATTTATATGTTTAATGTTTGTTTTAGAGACAAGATTACATGTACAGGTAAGATTAACACAATGCAAATTTAACAAGGTTGATCCGTCACCGCTGATTGTATTGATTCGCCGCCATTGCGTTGATTGCGTACAGCCAATTGACAGTGACACTTGACACTGAGTGAGATTTCTATACACGACACTAATTAGAGGTAGATGGGTTTGTCGGTGATCAGATATCAGTTCGCTGTATCCGTTAGTCCGCTGTAGAGAGTTCGTTATATACGTAAATTTTATATGATATTATATAGGAGATAAATCAGGGATTTTTTAACAGTTTGTTGTGTCCGTTTGTTCGCCAGATCCGTGTTCTACTGTACTTCACTTTCAATGTGCAGTGCTTTATTGCACATCTTGTGTTATGGTCATGGCGGCAATAGGAGTCGGAATGCTTGTTGATGTAGGGAGGACATTTCCCAGGTTGGTGGTACGAAACATTTTTTGGTTACATACTAGTCTGAACAAGCAAAAAACAAAACAAACACTGCCTGCCCGCTCCATAATTTCAAAAGTCATTGCCTGAGAAACAATTCTTTTATTTTTTTAAGCCTCCACCAAACTCATTTATTCTCTGTTCCTATCAGGTCCCAGGAAGTTGCTATACCAATGCAGGAATTTTAATTTTACACTGAATTTACAGAAGCTTTAAAAAGTTTGTACCCATTTCACGGTTAGAGAATCAAATCCAGGGTTGGCTGCCATACTGACCCACTGAGTTAATAAGTATGCGACCTCTTTTCATTTTGAAATACAGGGCTGGAGAAATACAAAAGAAGGTCGCCCAAAATCATGAGTGAGTGAGTATGGTTTTACGCCGCTTTTAGCAATATTCCAGCAATATCATGGGGGGGGGAGACACCAGAAATGGGCTTCACACATTGTACCCATGTCAGGAATCGAACCCGGGTCTTCGGGATGACGAGCCAACGCCTTAACCATGTGGCTACCCGACCGCCACGCCCAAATCATGACCAACTTGGAGCGGGAGGATGCAGATGGTATGTATGTCAGAGTGTTTTCTGGCATAAATCAAACAATAGTTATCATTGTGTATGGTTCTAAGAACACAACCTCAGTTCATTAAAGCCAATATTCTTGAAACTTGGTTAATATCACACTCAATATTTTTTAAAGATTTTCAACAGACGTTCTGTTAACTGTCAACCATCCTTGTCAGTTGTTTGGAATACCTCATATCATGCCAAAGCCTCAGTGCATTCACAGAGCAGGAAACATGTCACTGGACAATACTGGATGCAAATATATTTGGGATGTTTGGAAAGAAGTAAGGATATCTCGCCTTTGCATGCAGAAGAGTTGTAAGCTGCGTCATACTATTACAGGTACAACTAATAATGTAAAATTGACAGTGAAGAGGACTGCTGTTGAAAATCTGAAGATTTAGTTATAATATGTTTACAGCCAAAATACAGGATTACGGCAATGATGTAATAATAGAGGTATGGTATTTGCAAGATTAATATACAAACAAATATTGTTTATTTCAGTTCTGCAAAAAATGTTTGGATCGATATAACTTCCACAGCACCGTATGCTCTGTGAGACACCACTGCTTGGATCATACAAGGAAAGACTAATCTTAATGCTTTATGTGCTTTCAGAGATGATGTTGAAACTTGGAACCTTAAAGATACACGACAACTGAACATAACCCAAACCTAAATATCAGGTGAGCTAACGAACTACCAACCTCAGATAACATGAAACAAAACATTTGCCCAGAAAAACATAACAGACACATTTTAAATATTTATAGATCTTAACCCCTTTGCTTCCCAAATGCTATTATAATGATACTCATACATGCAATATTTACCATATCAATCATGCAGATATCATAAATACTTACCCATTGTAGCCAACTTTTATCCTTATGGCATCAGCATCGGCCAGGTCTTGTGTTGGCATAGCGACTGCCTGGGACCTGATAGAAACAGAGAATAAATCAGTTTGGCTAAAATCAATAGCAGAGGAAAGGGCATGTCTGTACTACCCCTGGGACGTCTGTCGGACTGTATGTACATGGCCATTTTCATGAATAAATACAACAGAATAAACAACTCACAAAGCTCACTGCCTGTCTAATCATTGAGCAGGACTATTTTGGAACCTCTATTGATGATGTTACATAATGGCATAAATCGGATCTTTTCTGATGCCCGAGTGGTTAAAAGAGTCAAGATAAATGGCAATTTTGGCAGTTCTACAGCAATATTATGACTAGGGGATTCGAAGAATATACCCCCAAAATAGTATTTTGTGTACAATTTGGGACTCGAACTTGGTACTTAGTGTGATCGGTGACCACCTCAACCACTTGGCTACCCATTGTCCCTCAAAAGAAGTGACACATTCCAATGTTTTCTTTCACCCCCCTGTTACAAAGAGGGGGTGTTTGTTTGTTTGTTGTGTAATTCAGCAATAAACCAGCTATATGACAGCAGTCTGTTAATAATAGAATTTGAACTAGAAAATCCAGTGATTACAATTATGACAATCATGTGTTTCTGAAGACCAATTCTAACACTGATCTTCTTGGGTCACAATGAGGAAGTGAGTTGGACTACCACTTTGCATGGAATTTCAGTTATATCTTAGCAGTCAGGTGAATGTGTCAGGAAAGCTCTAAGTCATGAAGGCAATGACAGGCTGCTAAAGGGGCCGTCACACCATGACGTTGTGGTCAACGTTCTCTGAACATTTCAATAGTTCAATTTTTGAGCGTTCTAGAATGAGGATGACACATCTGGCGTTTGATTAACGTGTGCCTAACGCATGACTAGCGTGTGTCTAACGCACGAGAAGCGTGTAACAGCGACCAAGTAAGATACCCCTGAAAACCATTAACGTGTGCTAACGTGCCACTGGCGCGCGACGAATGATTTGTCAACGTTAGACGAGCGTGTTGAGCGTGTGACTAACGTGTGAATAACGACAGAATAGCGTCTGCGTGCGCTGCATGCGCTAGGGGACCGTTCAGCGGTCATTGACAGGTTGCCAGTGAGTCGTTCAATGCAAAGCAAAGGATTAGTAACAACCAAGTAACGCTAGAGTAACGACTGACTAACAGTAGCCGAACGCGTGCAACGCTCGGCGAACGTTAGTAAAACGTTCCACGAACGTTCTTAAACGTTCTTCAGCGTTTAAAATTAAACGTTGAAGAACGCTGGTCTCAGTGAGAACTTTTGTGCATGTTCAAAACTTTTTTTCCAGACCAGCGTACTCCGCCGATTCCTGGCGATCACCGACGTTCACTAGCGTTCACACAATGCTCTTCTGGCGCTATCCCAGCGACCATGGGCGACTACCAACGTTTCCTCAAACGTCATAGAACGCTGACCAGAACGTCATGGTGTGACGGCCCCATAACATTCAGGTGATCCAGTGAAGTTGCCAATGTCAGTCTTGCATGCACATGAAGTCTGTGACTGTTTATATATATTGATGCCTGTGTGCGTATGCCCCATGAAGGCTGTCACATACACTGTTTTTGGAGAGACTGTCGAGCAGTCTTTGCTTGTGTGTCAATAATGTGAAAAATATATTCTTTTGACTGTAGGACTGTTTATTTCTGCATAACATAAACTTATTGCACTCCATATTTTTTCACACTTGCGCTTCCTTATATTCCAGAGGTAGATTAGTGATGACGTAATTCACACAAAACACACAAGTTTTTCCCTGATCTATTATTGTCTAGTATGTCTCTTGCCTATTACCGTATTCGACGTAATAAGCAACCCGCTCTAATAAGCGCCCACGGCGATATTTGCTAATATTTTGGCTAGTGAACAAACACAATTAGCACCCCCTACCATTGATCAATGTACACAAGACTTATCTATTTGTGTATTATACGCACTTGTGTGTTATATGCACCCTTAATTATGAGCAATTAAATTCTGGAAAAATATATCTGTCGTGTATAATACACACAGTCTTTTCTTTTGCATCATTTCAGGCTGTCAGCATAAACCACGAAATTTACAATCTTTCAACTCTGTTATTTTTAACCAAAATTTATTATAATAACAGCCCCCTATATATAATTATAAGACCCGCTTTGTGCTTATTGCGTCAGATACGGTATGTATACCCTTTGACCACACTTCCTGAGTGACATGACAGGCAATTGAACTTAACACAAGTCTGAGGCGACTAAAATTCAGGAAGGTCTTGCATGTCTTGTGACATTTCCTTGTGGACTGCCACTTTTACCATTAGATAGATGGCAACTCTGTAGCAGGACAAGTGACATTTCCTTGTGGACTACCACCTTTACCATTAGATAGATGGCAACTCTGTAGCAGGACCAGTGACATTTCCTTGTGGACAACCACTTTTACCATCAGGTATATGGCAACTCTGTAGCAGGAACAGTGACATTTCCTTGTAGAATACCACTATTACCATTAGATAGATGGCAACTCTGTAGCAGGACCAGTGACATTTCCTTGTGGACTACCACCTTTACCATTAGATAGATGGCAACTCTGTAGCAGGACAAGTGACATTTCCTTGTGGACTGCCACCTTTACCATAAGAGAGATGGCAACTCTGTAGCAGGACCAGTGACATTTCCTTGTAGAATACCACTATTACCATTAGATAGATGGCAACTCTGTAGCAGGACCAGTGACTTTTCCTTGTGGACAACCACCTTTACCATTAGATAGATGGCAACTCTGTAGCAGGACAAGTGACATTTCCTTGTGGACTGCCACTTTTACCATAAGAGAGATGGCAACTCTGTAGCAGGACCAGTGACATTTCCTTGTGGACTGCCACCTTTACCATAAGAGAGATGGCAACTCTGTAGCAGGACCAGTGACATTTCCTTGTAGAATACCACTATTACCATTAGATAGATGGCAACTCTGTAGCAGGACCAGTGACATTTCCTTGTGGACTACCACCTTTACCATTAGATAGATGGCAACTCTGTAGCAGGACAAGTGACATTTCCTTGTGGACTGCCACCTTTACCATAAGAGAGATGGCAACTCTGTAGCAGGACCAGTGACATTTCCTTGTAGAATACCACTATTACCATTAGATAGATGGCAACTCTGTAGCAGGACCAGTGACATTTCCTTGTGGACTACCACCTTTACCATTAGATAGATGGCAACTCTGTAGCAGGACAAGTGACATTTCCTTGTGGACTGCCACCTTTACCATTAGATAGATGGCAACTCTGTAGCAGGACAAGTGACATTTCCTTGTGGACTACCACTTTACCATTAGATAGATGGCAACTCTGTAGCAGGACCAGTGACATTTCCTTGTGGACTGCCACCTTTACCATTAGATAGATGGCAACTCTGTAGCAGGACAAGTGACATTTCCTTGTGGACTGCCACCTTTACCATAAGAGAGATGGCAACTCTGTAGCAGGACAAGTGACATTTCCTTGTGGACTACCACCTTTACCATTAGATAGATGGCAACTCTGTAGCAGGACCAGTGACATTTCCTTGTGGACAGACACTTTTACCATTAGATAGATGGCAACTCTGTAGCAGGACCAGTGACATTTCCTTGTGGAATACCACCTTTACCATTAGATAGATGGCAACTCTGTAGCAGGACAAGTGACATTTCCTTGTGGACTACCACCTTTACCATTAGATAGATGGCAACTCTGTAGCAGGACAAGTGACATTTCCTTGTGGACTACCACCTTTACCATTAGATAGATGGCAACTCTGTAGCAGGACAAGTGACATTTCCTTGTGGACTACCACCTTTACCATTAGATAGATGGCAACTCTGTAGCAGGACAAGTGACATTTCCTTGTGGACTACCACCTTTACCATTAGATAGATGGCAACTCTGTAGCAGGACAAGTGACATTTCCTTGTGGACTGCCACCTTTACCATAAGAGAGATGGCAACTCTGTAGCAGGACAAGTGACATTTCCTTGTGGACTTACACCTTTACCATTAGATAGATGGCAACTCTGTAGCAGGACCAGTGACATTTCCTTGTAGAATACCACTATTACCATTAGATAGATGGCAACTCTGTAGCAGGACAAGTGACATTTCCTTGTGGACTACCACCTTTACCATTAGATAGATGGCAACTCTGTAGCAGGACAAGTGACATTTCCTTGTGGACAGACACCTTTACCATTAGATAGATGGCAACTCTGTAGCAGGACAAGTGACATTTCCTTGTGGACAGACACCTTTACCATAAGAGAGATGGCAACTCTGTAGCAGGACAATCAACATTTCCTTGTGGACTACCACCTTTACCATTAGATAGATGGCAACTCTGTAGCAGGACCAGTGACATTTCCTTGTGGACTGCCATCTTTACCATTAAATGGATGGCAACTCTGTAGCACGACCAGTGACATTTCCTTGTGGATCGCACTTTCCCCATTAGATAGATGGCAACTCTGTAGCAGGAACAGTGACATTTCCTTGTGGACTGCCACATTTACCATTAAATGGATGTCAACTCTGTAGCAGGACTAGTGACATTTCCTTGTGGAGTACCATGTTTACCATTAGATAGATGGCAACTCTGTAGCAAGACCAGTGACATTTCCTTGTGGACTGCCACATTTACCATTAAATGGATGTCAACTCTGTAGCAGTACCAGTGACATTTCCTTGTGGACTACCACTTTTACCATCAGGTAGATGGCAACTCTGTAGCAGGACCAGTGACATTTCCTTGTAGAATACCACTTTTACCATTAGATAGATGGCAACTCTGTAGCGGATTTAGTGACAATTCCTTGTGGACTACCACTTTTAGCATTAGATAGATGGCAACTCTGTAGCAGATCATTTACGCGGACATAATCAATTTCTATCCATGTATGAAAAGTACATTCAATTTATTATTATTTACCAGTCTGCTCTATTTACTGATGTGACAGAAGACAAAAACATGAAATAAAACC